CATAGTCAAGTTTTCCTCTAAGTTTTCACATGCAGACCAGATTCTGACATTTCACAAATAAATATGTGCGTGTGTTTTTTGTGTAAATTATACCATATTGTCAATTTTAGGGTGGTGGCGTTTAAGCATGGAGCAAGTGTGATGCATGTATCTTTTGTAAAATATTCAGAATTCACTTTCAGCCCCAAAATACGCAACTATGCCTTCATTTAAGTGACCTGGTATCTCTTATGGTTTCCAAGATCTCAATGGTCATTCGAATTTGGGGCAACCTGTACAAGCCACAAAAAATAACTCTTTTTGCAGTCTTTATAAAACCCACTAAAAAAAGAATTGCAAAAATAGTAATACATTCATTCAAATGCTATAAATTACTAAAACTATATAAAGTGGCCCATGCAATCCTTGATTTGGGACACCTCATATGAAATACATAGCTACAATGTTACATACAGTTTATGCCTCAGACAAAATGCTATTGTTTCCATTCAGAATAGAAAACAGACCGATATTCAAATATGTCTCCAGAAATGTATATCAAAAACAATTTTAGTTCAATAACCAGCCTTGCTTAACAAACAAGAATGCATATTTGCATTGTTAAAATTAAAAGAACTCTATACCTTGTCTATACTACAGTGACTTTATAGAGACAGTGGCGACAACAGGGTATCTCGTTTTTGATTGGTCGTTGGTTCCGGTCGCCATATTGGAGCTAAATTCCAAACTGGCCAATAGAAAACCTTCAAAACGACGCGGTGCACTCCGTGCTATAATTATTAATTATACTGTTTTGACAGTGTCACCTGTAATTGTCACGGCTTCATGTTACTAGTTTACACTTTGCTTCTTGTATTTGCTTTATTTTACGTTTTCCGTCTCCAGTTTTATATAAACTCGATTTTTAAAGACGCATATAGTTTGGATTTATTACGATATTATAAGGTATGTAATTCGCTTAGTGTTTTTAGATGTAAAACTGTGCCTAACCTTACGACTGGTAATTGATGTAAAATTTTTTTCAGAAGCCCTAAATACCTAATGAGTTTAGATAGAAAACTGGTTAGAGAAGCAGCTTATCCGAAATTTAGCAGCAAATTCAATTGTGATCGTAAATACGTTTGAATTGGTTTCATGTTTGCTGGAGCACATGGAATATTGATCTCTTGTACTCCGTGGACTAGATCAACGTGTTTTGTCTTCCATTTAAGAGACTAAAGAAATACTTTTAAGTCCGGAAGGAGCAACACGCGACAGGGGACAAGAAGTGACAGAAGACACTGAAATGTCAAACACAATTTAATGATTATTTATATGTACATTTTGGATATTGCACCATATTTCATACTTATTATACCGTTTTCCATATACCCATACCTTTTTGAATTTGGGAGGCATTTGTTTTCCCATAGGTTGTTCTGCAAAGCTTTAAACGATCATTTCTGCGCCGTTCGTTTTGAACAAGAATCTTTACTTAAATGAAACTGACATTTATTATTCTACGCTCACAATTTGACATGACAAGGTATATTGATCTTACAATCAATTTTTTAGCTCCAATATGGCGGATTATGATAAGTTGTCGCCACTGTCCTTATAAAGTCACTGTAGTCTATACCTCTTTGACTATTTTACTATGGCTGAATCATTTTCGTTATTATTTCACACATGTAACCAAGTATTTTGTATTTACAACCAAATCGTCTCATGTATGTATGAATAATAATCGAGAAACTCGTCGAGAAATGAGGTTTTTATCTAGTTTCAATTTATGATTAATAATTCCTGTCCTCTTGTATTTGTCACGCGTCGAATTTTATTTTAAAGCGTCGAGTTGTGCAATAATGTATCTGTAGTTAAAAATAAACAGCAATATCATAAATTTGAATGAAAATATTTTCATCTAAGTAGGTAAATACACAAAAAGTAAGGTTAGAAGAGGCAAGTACTTACTTATAAATGCTGTATCTGTTTAAAACAAGTTAGATTGCACTAACACTTTACACTAGATGTATACTAATCGCTAATAAATGTGAAGGTCTCTCATCGGTATTGTTAATTCGAAGGAAACACATTTTTTGTATCCTTTTCTTTTGTATTTTAGTAATGTTATAACTGCTTTAAATCAGCTGATAAACTTCATTGTCACGTTTCGGTAGGTGTGTTTCTTCGATGAACTTGTTGTCTTGTGGCATAGATGGCGTGTGAGTCGCCAAAATAGACATTCAACTTTTTGTCAGGACCACGTGATTTGTGGTCAGGACCGTCTTCGGGCCTAGAGTTCGGTGAGACATCACACGATATTTGTTGTATTGCAACATATTTTATTATTAGTGTATTGATCAGTGATAGAAATAAGTTGACATTCGTTTCATTCGGGCATATTGGTGAATGGTGACCATTTACGTTCCCGTACGGAGGAGCCACTCCGCTTGATGCGGCACCGGGTGTCAGGTAGGGGAACGCCACAGAGTTGTATTACTTATATACAACTCTGTGGGGAACGCCCACAACGCAGACACCTGGGGCATCGATTCCTGAAGTTAGTCGATATGCTCCGTGATGTGCATGTGATGGGACCGGCTGCTATGACGTCATGATCGTATACCATAGGGATAAGTTCAAGTTTAGCTGCATTCCCGAATCGTGGACAAACTTTATGAGCTAACCAATCACAGACAAGAATTGAACTGTCATTTGTCAGTTTTGTATTTTGTTTTGTTTTTGCATTATGGATACTGTTATTAATAACCACAAAATCCTCGAACAATTCCATGTTTTATTTCACAGAAAATGTGTGAATGTATAGGTTAGGGCACTGAATAACCTTTAGCAAAACAGGTGCAAGTTCCGTCCTGTAGCTGCAACTGCGCATGACTTTCACGCAACGAGTGGTCTAGACCAGTCGTTGCGTTCGATCAACTTATCGCTCGACGCGGTAGGTTCGAGAATGCAGTCACAATCACGTTCACATCGATGTGAACGAAGCACATCTTCGGGAATCGACGCCCTGAATGATCGTAAAGTGACTCGTGTTTCGGTGTGGATAGTGATGATTATAAATAGCTCGTCGGGACTAAAACCATTGATTATACACACCATACTCAAAACCCAGACTGGTAGCGACGAACGTCATCGCAGCGGACCAACCTCCAAGTCAAGGCGTTAGCGACCATTCCGAGGACTGTGTGGCACTGGGGTGCAGTGTCGATAATGGTGCCCCTCGGATCCTGGGCGACCTCCGAGTGGTGATCCCTTTCCTTTGAGAAAGGTCTGGCGGCCAAACCCTGGGTAAACGGCTCTGTCCAGGTGAGACCGTATTTCCGCACTATTCCTGGGAATAGTATGGACGATAATAATATACTCCCAAAAGGGGTGGGATAACACACAACGCACGCACAGAAAGCACAGGCTCAAAGGTAAAACCTCCGGTCAAGCGGGCTCTGCGCCAAATCGTAAGGCTGTGTCTGGGCCGCTAGCTCGGGAAGGCATCCCAACGTCAGAGACCAAGCGTCTCGGATTGTAAGGAGTGTTTCTACACATCGAGGCAGGGTGCGTTTAACAACACCACGTTCGATTCCATTAGTGAGACTGCTCAAGGGTTTGGTATTGATGGGTCAATCGTAAGATAGATCCGGGCCATGCTCTGGAGCAGAGTCATTATATCCTCAATCGACGACGGAGATGACCTCCTCGTTTACTAGAGGATGTCCGCAGGGAGCGTTGTTCTCGCGATCGTCATAACTGGAAAGTTTTCAAACACCATGAAAGAGTTCATGCAGGGGGTTCTTGACCAGGTGGATAAGTGGTGCAGTAGCCAAGGCCTCTTCTCGGAAAAGACCGATGTTGTTCTATTTACGATTATAAAGAGAGCGGACCTTGATGGGCATTGGGTTTACTCTTCGAAGACGTCAACTAGGTCAGTCAGTCTGACCTAGGTCAGTGAAATATATGGGGGTCGTCATAGACTCCCGCGAGACTTAGGAAGGGCACATTGAGCTAATAATCAAAAAGCTCACTGCATGCAGTCTGTGAGCATGTAGAAGGGCTTTTGGTTGTACGTGGGGCTTGACCCCTGGACTGGTCACTGTAATGATAAGGTCAATAATACTGTACGGTGCACATGTGTGGTGACCTGCCACGTTTGGGAGTCACTGGAGCAATGAAAACCACGGCAACTTTGGCCATGGAGCCTTTACACTTAGCTGTTGAGACGAGGCTTGGAAGACGGTTAAACAATTGGGACGAAGCAGCCTTGGTCACGGGCAGATCTGGGAAGAAACATTCAAATCCGATCGCCTGCTTGCAGCAAGGGATCCGGGCTGTTCTACTAAGGCCAAAGAGTTATCAAGTCACTATTGTCCGGCCAGGGAGCAGTGGCTGAATTCAGATCGCCCGTTCCTCAAACCTAAGGGGTTCGTGTGGTTTATAGACGGAACCCTAACGGAAAGAGGAACGGGTGTGGATATACACTATGTCGAAGATAAGGATGTCTATCATGGAGATCTCCGACACCATAGAAGATACAACGATGGTCAAATTCGGGAAATGTTGCGCAATTATAGACAGTTCTTATCATGCTTTAAAGAAAATGAGAAAATTCCTATTACTTCCGAAGTAGGCCAGAAAACCCAAAATTTGCCGATTTGGTTTTCATTTTTTTCTGCTGTTATTTGAACAGATACAAAAAAAATTGTAAACACTTTCTCATTGCCACTTTATGAGCTCTACAGGACACCATTAAGAGATTTTCAATAGAACGCCGCGTTTCGACATATGTCAAACCAAAGAGTATATAACGTATAACACGAAAAACAAAAGTTTGCAACTGTGGGTTTCAACAAGATGGTGCACCCACGCACAACGCTCTAGTCGTGCCAGAATACCTATCGGATAACTTTTACATTTTCTAGAACCTTTTCTAGAATTTGCTAATTAACTGCTTCTTGTTTTCCTGTAAAAGACAAAAAAACTTTTTCGCATCGCCAATAAAATAACTCTCATAATAAAATTTGGTTCAACTTAAAATAGACATAATATACACACTACACAGTATTAACTGATAATAAAGGTAATCTGAAAATTAGTGTCGGCGACGACGACGGCGGTTGTGTTCAAACCTTTGCAACGCTCTCTCCTAAAGCAAAAATTACTCAAATGTAATATAGCACAATGAGAATTACCTGTGCAAGGCGATCTTCACGATTCATTGCTAAAAAGGGATTAACGGGAGCTGCTGGAACAACAGTTTCAGTGTCAGTCTTATAGTGCTGTTCGATATCCGCGGTGGGATCTATCTTTAATCTTTTAGCTTCGCTAATTCCTAGATCTCTCTTAGCTTCTTCGGCACTTTTTAAGACCGCATCTTTGTGAAGTTGAATGATGTCGCTAAATAGAGGGCAGCTACAAGAGAATTTTAAGGAGAATAAATTCTCGTATATTAAGCACTTACAGATTTGTATTACTACCGTCGGGGCCGTTAAAATGGTTGTAATTTTTGACAGGTTGATTACAAACATAGCACATGAGAGCTCCGCAACGGCATTTCATCATATTACATCCTTCCTCTTTGATGAACTTCATATCGCATTTGTAGCAGGTTCTGAAAATGTATTCCATGATACAGGGTGCAAAAATCAGTTGACTAGTTGACGGTAGGTAACCTTTTATCAATCTTACTTTAATTTGAAATATCTCTGATTACAATTTTTTTGAATAATGAATATCTAATAAATAAAACAGTTGCAATGCGCCGGCGCAAATAATTTGTGGACAATTTGTGCCACCCGCAAGTTAGCAAGGGAGGTATTGCATTGGAGTAAAAAAATGACTGTCTACTTTTTTTACGGAAATACACGTTTTGTAGCACCAGGAATCCGAATCAAACAAAATCTTGATGATGTCGATCTGTTTGTACTCTGATTTCCGGTCAAACGGCTGAACCGGTTGGGACCAAATTCTGTACACATATTGAAAAATGGAGAATCGCGCATGCGCAAGTGGGTCGCTAGTGGTGTAATTGCGTCGACCAATCAGGTGTTTAGTTTTGTTAGTCGGTGGTGAGACGGAACTCGGTCTCCACAGTAAATCTAGTTGTTTTTGTGTTATCATCCTATATTGTATGGACCATACTGCATCTGGAGGTGCGAACGCGCTAGTAAAATACATCGGCGCCAACTATGATGCTGAGGGATGCATCGATTACTTTTTTTTTATTAATCTTATTTATTTTTGTAATTTTCATGTTTCTTCAAGCAATGAAATCAAAACTGAATTTTTATTTGAGATTAGTAACTTTGTTACATATTTTTTTCAATTATTTGACTTGTTCTGAAAGTTTTTGTGCGTTGTATTGCTCCATGTCAAGCGGCCTTAAGAAAGTAATACGCCTACGAGAATGTACGGAATTTGTCCCATTAAACTTTAAGTTAAGCCGTAGGTATAACAACTACAACAACGGATCATAACATATGACTGCGGAAAAGTAGGTAATAGGTAATATGGCAAGTCCCACGTTTATAATGACGCGTTTTCATTTTTTTGTACAATTAATCCAGTTAAATTGCCTTTTTACTAAGAAAGTTGTGGGGTAGTTTTGATTTCTTTGATTCTATATGTTTTTTGGAGTGCTGAATCCGAATCTGAGGTTTGCAAACAAAAATTCCACTATTTAGTTTTTCTCCTCGATGAACCGTTCGGGCTCAAGCGACAGTTGAAAATTGGCGTATTTCGGCTGTCTCCACAAAACATAGTTTTTTCGCACTAAAACCCTAAATTAATATTAAGGGTTGTCAATAAGTGAATTCCTTGCATTTACCTATTATTTGAATTTTATATGTAAGGGTGATTCGTTCAAGGTGTTTATTGTAGTCCAGAATTGCATGAAAAGTTAATTTCTAATGCAAAACAGTATATCATATTATTATATTATTTATAATATAAATACTTATATCTGCGCTATCTAAAACTATTCCCACTCTCTTCCGAACCAGATAAAGAAATCACAAGACCCTACCATAACATGTTTGGATAATTATTGTTGAATGTGGGAAAGTGGCGCTGTGGTCATTATTAAAATTCAAAAAATTCAAATGGCAAAATAGTCCAGGCAATAAAGAACATACGAGGCCCTTAGCTTGCAAAATGAATGGTAGTTCTAGAAATATGTTTTTTGGGTTGCTGAATCCAAATTTGTAACTTCCCACCAAAAATTCCCTCCGCAACCCAACCAAATCTTGAAAATAAGAAAAAATTATGTTAAGAAATCGTTTTTTTTTGTGGTTTCACGAATGAAATACCTACAAATTTGAAATATAATATAGTATGCAACCAAAAACGTCTTAAAACATGTTTACGTACTACGCACGTAGGGGGCGCTGGCGTGCGTTGAAGTATGCTTGCCTTAGACCATATAGATAGTACATGGACTGCTATTCGCCCTATGCTTTCAATACAAAATGGGTGGTCACGGATAGAGGGCACTTTAGTCGAGGGTATGTGAATCTCAGGGTAAACTAAAGTCGTATGAACACCACTCGGATCGCGTAAAGAGCAGATTTATAGTAACCGCGTAGTACGGGAAGCTTTAAATACTCTTCATTATTTGCTATACGTCCACAAATAAGTATGTTTGCTTTTTTTGGGATATCTAGGCGATCCATTAATTGACGTTTGTTAATTTATAGGTTGACAGTCTCAAATCGTGTCTCATCGGAAAACTTCGGACAGACTCGTTTACCCTGAAAGTCACATACCCAGGTGATGTCCTTGACCATATTTTCGTTACAATTAGCAGTCCATGTACTGTATGGTCTAAGATGCTTGCTCATTGGCGATTCAAGCACACTTCGCTTAACAACCCACGGCGTTCATGTTCGTTCTCGCTCCACCCGCTTTACCACCCACTTTACCATTCGTTTTAACCCCCTCTCTCCTTTAATCTCTCTTATTTTTCAGTATCTGGAAGTGAACCCTCAACCTCCAACTTTTCACCACCTATATTTTCAGAAAAGTTCAGAATTAAGAACACATCCACATATACTTAAAAAATATAGACTTTTATTACTAAAGTTAAATTAATTTATTTAAAAAAAAGTTTAAATTACTCTTTACCGTTTAACTGTAGCTAATGGCCTAGGTTTATCTATGTCACTGCTGAAAATTAGGTTCATTCGCGAAAAAGATTTAATTTGTTTCAAAGTCCCGTTTTTAAAGTAGATTGTTTGATGCATGTTCGAAGGAAGACCAAAAAGGAAGTTTAGAAACGACTAATCTGACAAATCTTCCGTGTTTTCGGACTCGGACTAGGAAAGCTAGACCGTGGGCAAAAATCACAGACGTAGAGTCACAGCCGCTGAAAGCGTGTAAAATAGTATATTTGTAGCCACTGTGTCTTCTTCAAGACCAAAAGGTGAGTAGATCTGTTGTGAAACTTTACCTTTGTCGGGCTTCATGAAGTAAATATTGGCGGATTGAGCAAGTACAGTTAATCGAAATCTATATTTTCGCCGACAATAATCACCAATGGATGAATTGATGCCATTTCAATTGCTGTATTAAGGATGAGACAGTCTGCGTTATAGTTCTGACGTGCGTGCGGCACCAAAGCGCGAACGCCCTACTCTTTCGCCCTGCGTCAAAATATCATTTTGTCGCAAATTTGGTCTACTTTCCGAATTTCCAGATAGTTTTTCTTTGAAATACACAAAATAACGGAAAAGAAACTATGTTTTCTTTTTTTCAAAATTTGGGGAGGTTGCGGGGGGAATCCCTCTAGCCCCGGTGTTCTGAAGCATCACGTAGTCCTCGGAGAGGAGTTACCCCAGCTTTAATTTGTCTGTTAACAACTGAACCCGATTTATTTCTTTTCTGTTTACATGTTAACGAGCGACAAAAAGCGAGTTCATGATTTTGAACTGTCCGTCCGTCCATCTGTGTAACTTAGTGTGTATATGTATGTGTATGGGAGGAGGACCTCGAGACTGCAAACGCAGGTACCCGGTGACGTAATGGGCCTTGGCTCATCTGTGAAGGAGTGGGAGAGTTTTATTTTATACCAGACGGAACAGTGCTAAAATCTTTTAAGGAGACCGGTAGACAATGAAAAGTACGGATTTATATTTGCACAGAATAATAATAAAAGATGAGTATTTGCGGATACAGCCGAAATACGCCAATTTTCAACTGGCGCTTGAGCCCGAACGGTTCATCAAGGAAAAAAACTAAATAATGGAATCTGTAGGAAATTTTATGTACTTTCATTTTGAATAGGAAGATTATTTTCGAAAAGTTTTCAAGTTGTAGTCACAAAACTGCCAAAAATAATATGTTTTTCAAGTTTTTTGTATTTTTTTCAATGTTGCGCCATGAAATTTTGTTAGCAAACCTCAGATTCGGATTCAGCACTCCAAAAAACATATAGAATCAAAGAAATCAAAACTACCCCACAACTTTCCCGCTAAACGCCCGTTTGAGCACAAATGGCCTGTATTAAATAGACAAGAAAATGGGGAAACAAACATAGCTACCTCAGCAGTCCTTCAGTCATTTTATTTTCTATATATGTTCGATCTTTAACGTCCTCATCCTTCTCAACTTCATCGCAACGCAAAGGCACATGCGAAGGTTCCTTACACATTCGACACGACTCTTTCATACACTGAGGATTTAGACACCTAAACAATTTATCATCACGAGCAGGGATAGCCGCAAAATCACAGAAGGGACAAGTTTCCAAATCTTCAATTCCAGCCGCTTTTACTTCCTCGACTTGTTTTTTTGAAGCAATGACGGAAAACATTTTTGGGTTGATTACATCCTATGAAAAAATGGTTAATTGGAAATCGACTCCAGTTTTTACGTTTATACCTGTAAAACTGGTAAAGTAAAATGGGACTCGCAATCGCCAAGGCAGGGAAAGTCCAATTTACCATCTCCAAACGCGATCTCCGCACTTTTCCGTACACAATATTTACAAAACATACAACCGGCTTCACAAGAAGCGATATCATTGGGCATGATTTCATCGTCATAGCAACAAGCACACGTCTGCAATAATCCGGCGGCTTTGGCTTGTTTACGCTCCATCTCTTCTTGTAACTTTCTTTGACTTAAAAATTGCGTTATTTCCTCCTGATGGTCATAGAAGGCAATTTCTTGAAGAAGAGGTATATTTTGAATTATGGAAGGCATCGCCACTTTTCCTCGCTTTGATGCCATTCTTTTGGAAGGAGGGTAATTTTCCAATTCCTTACAAGTTGCCAAAAGCCCTTCTTTATTTTTAATAAAGCATTCGCGGATTGATCGCAATTGTACCATTGCAAATTTGTTTCGTAGGTAATACATAGCGTAATTGTGACTGCGATAATCTAATTCACCAACTTTCCGCTTTGAATCAGCAAAATACTGAAAAGGATCGGGTATTACTTCTAGAAATTTGGCAACACTGAATTCACTTGTGTACTGGTTTTGTTGGGCGGATAGTTGTTTCTTCCTACAAACAAATACGTTAGACTAAGTGCACTGAATAAGATACACGTTTAGGTACCTCAAATATTTTTTCAACGTTGGATAGTTTCGTGTTTCGATCGCTTGAGACACAAACGCTTTAAGGTCGTCCGGATTATCGATGAGACGATCAGAATGCATTTGTAAATATTCCGGATCGGCGTCCACAAGTATGCTTTTCATTAGCTCCAGTTGTTCAGAGGCATTCAGACGGTACGGTGCGCTTTCAGTTTTTCTTCGCTTGGGGTAATCCACATCCAGGACTTCTCCCATTAAACTATTCAGTACGTCAGGGGAGTGGCGCTTTCCTTTACAAATTTGCCGTAAGAATTGTGGACATGCTTCAGGAAATATTTCCATGAGTGGCTGAACCAATCTATTGTCTACTTCCTCTTCTGCATTATTTTCTTGTTGGAACTGATCTAAAATGTGTTCTTCGGCCATCTCCTACGACTTAGAATTTATTATTAGATTTTTTTATTATTAGAATTTTGAAGTCAAACATGAAGCCAAATAACAATAACCGCACAACTCCATGGAAACCTCGTCCTAGGCGCCTTCGATTATTTCTTGTAGGCAAAGGTGATGTAGTATGATCTTGATGTAGGTAATGAATTCACACGTGCGCAACTGGTTTTGGACTACACAAACCATCCAATCAGAAAACTACTAGGTAGAATCAAAATGGTATGGTGAAACCGTTTTGTGAGCGGTAAGAACGATTGCACGCAACCATAGTTGGCAATTGATTTCAAATCGGTCACGTTTATAGTATGTCCTCATTCTGTCTGGTTAATTTTTTTATAACTCAATTAAATTGGGCGTGGTTCTTGTTATGTAGTTTTCTAAATAAACACGTATGCTCCGGCTAGCTATCAGGCTTTTCTGAGCCCTTAAGGAAAAGTGCTAAAGGATAAATAAAGTATTTATTAAAATTCGAAACGGTTCTTATTTTCTTTCAAGTTTATCTTTGCTGCAATAGAATAATGTATTAGTAAATGGGGCTGAGGCGAACCAATCCTGTAAAGTAACTGATCAAATCACATTCATTTGAAAAAATATACCTACTTTGCATTGATAGGAAATATTGAACTTTATTTATACCTGAAATAAACTCAATGTACATATAGAATGTCCGTAAGGCGTTAAAATAGTTAGTATTTTTATAAACACCCGGTATAATAAATTGAATCGGACTGCAATACGTTATTAAGAATTTCCAGAAGCAAGTCTTTAAACTTTAGAAGCAAATGGCGTCCATAAACAGTTGCATACCGATTGAGCAAAATGGTTGTAGCTGGTTTCGTATTTAAATACCACATAACTGCAGCGGCAGTACGACGACGGAATTAAACCAAAACGTTCATAAATACCTCTAGCGTTTGTGCACCAAGAGTTCTAAATGCGCTTTTGTGACCGTTTCTGTTCCGCCCCCGGCTTGGATCTGATTCGGAATGCACGGACCGACTACAGACTTCTGAGGACGTGGCTTCTTGAGAAGGTGCGAATATCTTCGTGCGCAGTAAATGATGGTCCGATTTAATAGTTTCCCTTTATTTACATTCATATTCACAGACATCGCCGTATTAAAATCAGACCCAATAAGCGCTTGTAAAGTTTTAAATATTTAACTCGCGCTAGTACAAGGTTCTTGTCATTTAACATCGGTAACGATTTAATTACATTGACTCGTTTTATTTATTCATCCTGAATATACATTGTGCCAAAGATAAGAGTGTCATGAGGATCTCTGAAACCATAGAAGGTAGGACGATGGTAAAATTAGAAGAAAACCAGAAAATTCCGATTACTCCCGAAGATATGCCAGAAAAACCGAAATTTGCCGATTTGGTTTTTACTTTTTTCTGTTGTTATTTGAACACATACAACAAAATTGAAACCGCTTTCTCATTGCCAATTTTTAGTTTTGTGTGTGCGACATATATCGTTGGATTGGATAAGTAATAAAAATGGTACTCAATACAGTATGTCATTTTTTTACGGACCATATAAAAAAATGAAGTTGACGAGATTTCTCCGAAGCGTAACTTTGTATTGAAAATCTTTCAAGGGTGTCTTGTAGAGCTCAAAGGTGGTAATGAGAAAGTGTTTTTTATTTTTTGTATCTGTTCAAACAGCAGCAAAAAATCGGCAAGTTTCGGTTTTTCTGGCATATCTTCGGAAGTAATCGGAATTTTTTGGTTTTCTTTAAAGAATGATAATAATTAATAACTGTTCGATTCCGCAACTTTTCCCTAATTTGAATTGTTTCGGATATCCCCATGATAGACATCCTTATGTTATCTTTGACACAGTGTATATACATAAAGTAATACTGATATCAATTACTCTATTTACACCTGAAATAAAATTGCATCTCTAATCGCGTTGCTACTTTAAATTTCTAATTTCAATTTAGATTCCTTACGGTTAAAAATCCCTTTCGGCTCGGCCGATCAGTTGATCAAGGACATACAGTGCGCCCCTCTAGGATGCGCGGGAGTCTAGACACATGAAGTTCCAGAAATCCGAGACATGCGCATGGGGTGTCATTTGATATGTCTCAACGAGAGCTATCCAATGACATGTACTGCGCACGTTTAAGATGCGCGGCAGTCCACTTGGAGTTCCAGAAATCCTAGTCATGCGCACTACATGTCATTCGATTAATTCCACAGCAAATTTTTTAGCTCCCATTTAGTGTTTCAAGTGTAATAGCTATGTATAACGTCAAAAAAGCCAGCGGTAGGTATTTCTTTACCAATACAGGTGTTCACCATTTCTCCCATAGAATAAGGGGGAGATGGCGAATGGTTATGGGGGGGGGGGGCGATGGTGAATAAAAAATACATATTTATATTGTTTCAGTGCAAGATGTCTACAGGATACAAGCGGTTGGGAAGATCTAACAGGGCGAGTGGACGGAGGAACAACTACATAGGGCTGTTCAGTGTTCATGTTGTTGAGGAAGGACAAAGCAGTCACTTCCATAGACCGCGATGAACCGTAGGATAACTAAAAGCTGTTTCACAAAAACGCCATTGGCGCCGTCTTCTGTTTTTGGACATCAAAATGAAAGAAATCTTTTAAAATTGCAGAAGTTTGCATTTTGACCAGCGTATGAAGGCTGATAGGAATTGCATAGATTATTCGATAGGCAGTCTGAAGACAGGGCATTTAATTTGTGTATGGATTATTTCGGATATAAACATGATAAGGAAGATGGCGTTTTGACTGAATGTCTGAAATTGTTTAAATACCAAAAGCGATTCTAACACAAAATTACCTGAGCTGTTCCTAATCAGATGTCCTGGACGACCAGTACTTCGCGTTCAAATCAAGTTAGATGCTGTTGAATCAGAAAGACAGAAACGTAGACAATCTAACGAGTCATCTTTGTGCATAAGAGAGGGCACTTGTAGATAAAGATGATGACACTATAGTCAAGAGGCCCTAGTCACAAACAAAGTTATGTGAAAACCAAAGAAGAAGAGAGAGAACCTTGCGTGCTACTATTGCGTTAAGATAGGACATACAGTACGACACGGTAAGAAATGGATTATTGATGGGAAGTCATGTCAACCAAGCTGTTCAAGAGCGAATTCATCATCGAATCAGGTTCAGAACATTACGTTGATGGTAAATGGTTGATCTAATGAGTCTAAAAAAAGACAAGGAAAATTGGTACGTCGACAATGGAGCAACGATGCACATTGCTATCACAACCTAGATTCCCTTTGTCTATAACCACTTCGGACGTCGGGTTGGAAGTTTCGACTCCACGATCAGTAAAATTTTGTCGGGGGCTACCACATTCTCTTTGTCGGTACCCACTTCCGAAGTCCCGTTCACTCGCATTTCGCGTTTGAAGTTTTGACTCCACCATCAATAAGATCTTGCTACTTTGTCGGTACGAGAAAGAGAGACCGCGCTTAGAGCTCTTAGAAACTTTTGAGAGCACAAAGTCGACTACTCCTCGAAGATGCATTGACTAGAAAAAACAAAATTCCGTCACGCAGAAGCTGTGCGCGTTTCCAAGATCTTTCCGACGACACCAGTTTGAAAGCAAAACTGTACACGAATATAGGAATAAACTGGAAAATAACCACGTTAGTATTACACGCTCGGGCATGGCGCCCAAATGTCGCCGGCCACCCGTTCCTAAAGTTGTTAATAACACGGCCCCGGTAGGTACACACACTCCTTGTTTTTCTACAAGCGTAGAATGCTACGGGCCCACATTTGCTGCCAGTCTCCCAGCCGGGCAAAGTGAGATCAAACGCTACCTTTTTAGCGCATTTCCACAAAAATAAAAAAAATGCACTATTGTGGCCACTTTGTCCGCCCGTCCGTCCGTCCGCTCATTCGTTGAGACGCTACTAGTTCTTTATCTTAAGAGCTATTGTTCTACTTTTTTCGCTATTTGGTTCGTTATGGTGTCGAGGCTTGTACAAAGGAAGGAATTTTTTCTGAGTTTATTGCTAAAAAAGTTATTTTCAAAAAATTATCAAAGTCCTCGTGTGAGATCGAAAGGACTTCAGCGCATTTTTGTGTGGCAGATCAGTATTCTATTAGCCACTTTCGACTCAACCATCAATAACAGATCTTGTCGAAGGCTACTACATTCACTAACCGTTTCCCACTTTCCGCGTGCACCCGCAATTCGCTTTTAAAGTTAAAATCGTGTCGGGGGCTACCACATTCCCTTTGACGGTAGCCACTTCCGACGTCCCGTTCACCCGCAATTCGCTTCTATTGGCGACACGAGAAAGAGAGACAGCGATTCGAGATTTACGAAACGTTAAACCGCGTGAGTTCGCAACGGAAGGTAAAAGGCGCCCGAAGTTGACTACTTCTCGAAGACGCGCGCGCGCGCCTCGCAAAAGGTCGTTAATTTCGCCCCTAGGACAAAAAACAAAATTCCGCCACGCAGGAGTTGTGCGCGTTTACAACATCTTTCCGACGACACCAATTTGAAAAGAATCGGACCAAAACTGTAGTAGAAGATAGAAAAAAACTGAAAAACCTTCACGTTAGTATACTACGCTCGAGGATGACGCCCAGATGTCGCCAACCCCACATCATGTAGCCATGTCCCTAAGGTTGACAAATTTCACGGCCTTGTAGATACACGTACACCCGTTGCCTTTCTACAAAAGTTCTTCTACGCGCCCACATTTGCTGCCAGCCAGCCAGCCAGCCACCCAGCCAGCCACCCAGCCAAAGTGAGATTAAAAGCTACTTTTTACAAATAAATTTGCAAAAATGCGCTAAAAACAACAAACCGTTTTTTACATGTTCTATAATTTTACAGTTTTGCCTTTTATTAACGATCCTAGAGATCGTTTTTAATTTTGTATTGCTGTCTGTCGTCTGTCTGTTGGTCTGTCCGTCTGTTCCTTTGTCTGTCTGTCCCTCTATCTGTCCGTGTGAGCGATAAGTTTGGTTAGAAATGTCCGATCGCTTTGACATCTCCGTTAGTTATGAACTGAATATGGGCATAGCTTTAGCCATATAATACGCAATGCCAAAAGTTGAATCGATTCGATTCAAAATTCACAGTGCCCTTTTCGCATCTCGACCATTTATAAACCGAATTGCAAACTTTAATTTATAAAAGTATTTGAATGGAATTTGATACATAGGTGCTCGGAATAAAGGAAAATCTAACGTTAGTTTCAAAGTTTAGATTTGCGCATGCGCAGTTCCAACTTTCTTATTTAGAAAAGCATTGAAATGAAATTCTTCTTATAAACTGAAATTGAAGTAGCACGTCAAAAATAGATTGCACATTTGCAACGCTATCTTTCATATTTGTGGCCGGATTTTTACGATTTTAACAGAAGTTGCATCTTACAAATGGGAACTGAATGCAACTGGAAATGCGCTTTTTGTAAATCGTTTACGATTACTTCTTAACTTGTTTCGAATACATTTGCGAAAATGCGCTAAAACAGCATTACTTCAATAACTCGCGAATGCAAATTAGATGTAGAAGGTCACTACAAGAGTGGTTGGCAATAGAGTCCAATACGGAGGACTATATACAAACTGAATATAATCAAATAGTCAATTGAAAAGTCTAAAGCACAGCTCGTAATAGGCAACGAAAAGGAATTGATTACGAACAAACTTTTAGTCCCGTAACCAGAATGCCTACAATTAGAATATTGCTAAGTGCTAAGGACACTTCGCACTTGTCGGCATTTCCACAGCGTGTCTAAATGGAAAGTTCATAGAAAATATAATTATGCAGCACCCAGATAGCGTTAGCGATGGATCTTTAAAGGTCTGTCAAGGCTTTTATGGTTTGAAACAAGCACCAAGGTGTTGGAGCTCCTGCTTTGAAAAGTTTCTTCTTGAAATGGATTTTAAGCAGGCCTACGCTGATTGCTGATGCTGCCCGATTATGAAAACAGCTGAGAAAAAGAAGATACTCATTACCCTGTATGTAGATGATGGTCTTATAGCAACAAGTGATGCGAAACTCAAATTTTTATATGATCTGAGACAGAAATAAAAAATTGCTGAAAAACCTACAAATGCGCGAAGAAAATAAAATTAGAGAGCAGTTGGTCGGAAGGGTTTCTGTCAAAAGTCAGCTTGACGGACTTGGAGGAACCCCCTGCTGCTGTTTATCATTAAAATAAATTACCTACATATTTGTAAAGAAAAATCAATTTACTTTAATCAATATAAACAACTGGACACTACCGAAAACAACAATTATGAGGTACAAAATATTTACAAAAAATTAACAAATTAATATGTACATTATGTACAAAAAGTAAAAATATCACATTCTAACTAACTAAATTACAGTCCTGTTATTGCACGAATACTGAAGTCCGTTAACTTTTTGGGTACTTCACTTGCAGGTGAACTGACAGTTTTTGGTAACACTTGGGGAACTAGAGGTGATTCGTAATAGTTGCCGGTGTGTAAATCGAACTGTTGGGGGAGGTAAAATGGCGGGTACATGTAGTTGTAAGGAGCAAATGAATAATGATTGTAGTACATGTGGAAGGGGTTCAATGGAAATTGGGAAAGTCTTGATTCGATGATCCTACTTTCCGCGGCCATATCAAGCGAAGGTGACGAAGAGTTCGAACTCGAATCGATAATTTCCCGTTTTATATCGTAATCCTCTTCTTTGACGGCCCGTTTCCGCTTCGATTTTCCCTCTTCATTTTCTCGAAAACCTTTCGCGAACGGATTGTATTCGATTTTCAGTTTTGTTATTTGTTCGTTCTGCAACAAGGACATAATTGCATGTTAGTTTTAAGTGTGAAATTTGTGAAGATTGAGTAGTCGGACGACTGTCGTCAACAGTTATTTGCTTGTTGTCTACAGAAACACGATAAGTCTAAGAGGGTTGCAGCGCCGGGCGGCGCCAAGTGCTATTCGCAAAGTTTTGACCGACAGACATTAAGATATAATTGCTTGTTTTCTGTGTTATCTAATTTTAAGGGCGTTCGTACCTGATATGCCGTGACTGCTATGAACTGCGTTTCAGGAAATGCGACCGACGTCGTTGGCGACATCCAAGGCAGAGAACGGGGATCGACCGTTTTCACAATTGTAATTGTAGGTTGATACTGGTGCATTGATGATAAGACCACCAACCCTAGTGGAGGTGACATAGTGTTGGATAGTTTGGCTCTGTAATAGGAAAAGAAATTTATAGAGCGTGATTCTAAAATTATGGTTCTTTACGTACTTTGCAAAAGACACGGTTTGAGACATCCAATGCGCGCCTGTTGCGGGTGACTCTGGATGAATGTAAACTCGTTGACTGTGATTTTTTTCTTCGGAACCGGCGAGTGTCCAGCCTGTGCTGGAGTAGTATTTAAAGCGATGGTTCGACGCCAAATGAAATTGCAGCATTACGCAGTAATAAGCTGAGGGGTCCAGTCCAGATATGGTCACTCTTATGTAAGGAAACATTCTCCTGAAATGAATGAAAGTGTTAACACTAAGGCAATAAATCAGATTCGCTTTATGTAAAGCATGAAAACTATTTTCAATTTAGCGTGGTCTGCGGTCAGCGGTCTGCAATATTTGTATCATATGTAAGGCTACGTTCAGACACGGCGATAATCGCGTGATTCTCACGAGGATCTTGTTTACATGAAAATGTTCCAAATTGTTCAGACAAAACCGCACGAGATCCGCGTGACAATCACGCGATTATCGCCGTGTCTGAACGTAGCCTAAATGTATTGTACCTGCTAACGTGTCAAACAGAGAGCGTTGTATTGTAACCGTAGAGCGCGCGGTCTATCATCAGAGCCTTAGATCAATATGTATGATTTAAGATCAGAGCAGTTTTAATATGTTACATAGATCGCGCGGTCTGATAGGTATTTTTAACAACCGCTCTGATGGAATGCGCGGTTTCTTCTTGCCTCTGTTCATAGACTAGGACTTTTGAGAGGAGAAAGAGAGAGCCTTGGTTTATTAGAAAAAAATTCCCTTGGAGAATGACTGCAAATACTTATCATTGATAAGTAAAAGACATTTCGGGAAATAAACTTGAGCGTCACATTAAAAAAAGGTTTTCGTTTTAAGAGGAGTACAACTTTAGCGCATTTTTCATGAATCGATCAATACTTCCCGAAGGGTCCGTTTATGTGTAGGTACAAAAGGAAAATAAATTATGGCATAAATATTCTTGTTATTTATAACAATCAATAAGAAAGTGAACATTGCGCCGTATGCGCATGTGCGGATTAAATTTTTACAATATGCTTAGGTATCTTTACCAGAAGAATCTTTGGTTAAAATTTCAAAAAACCTCTCCATAAATTAAAAAGATGAGATTGCGCATATCTCATTTTTACAATATGCGACATGCTTGTATTTACTAAAAGCATCTGTGGTTCAAATTTCAAAAAAATAACCCTATAATTAAGGAAGTTGACACTGCGCAGTTTGCGCATGCCCACATTAATCGTCAAGATTTTTCTTGGTCTAGGTGCCAGAACTATAAGCTGCCGAATTCAGAAGAACGAACTAACTATCTTGAAAACTGTAGTAGTTAAGGCCTCGGACGGACGGAGAAAGTGACCATAATAGCGCCTTCCCGCATGAGTTGGAAAATGCTCTAAAAATAATCTAAATGTTTTTAAAATTCTGCATTTTGGGAACTTTTTTAATTTATACATAATAAACTGTTACAATCACACGCGTAAACTTTATAAATACTACTTGTAATCTGATTGGATTATGCAGGGTATATCAGTATCAGATCGAGTTGGTAACTATGTTATTATTGAAGACAGCAATTATAGATAATCGTATTAGATATGTGCATTAAATTTGATTATGTAATATAATTTATATCCAAAAAGTGTACTTTTTAAGAATACGTAATAAAAATCTGTGGTTGCCATTTAAAAAAATAGGCCCCTCTTGACCATGCAGAAGTACGCCACTGACCACAAATTTAAAGCACGTAGACTAGTAGCCAACTTTTTTAAAATTTGGATACCATAAAAAGCTTCTTTAAAAAAACACTGTTTTGAAGTTATATGCAGTGTTCCAGACACAATTTTCACCTGTATATTCAATAATTCAACAGGTGGATCTATGTGAAAAGTTATTAGAGAAAAACTCAAATTAAGTAGAAAAAGTAAATCTACCGAGGCGTCTACACAGAACTAAGAGGGTCACTTTTTCAATAGAAGGCACTATTTTTCGTGAGGGATTATTAACGAATTTTTTTAATATGATAATATAAACAAAAACACACTAGTAAAATTATAAAATTAATTAACAAACTATTTTTCTTAATTTAAGTTTTTTTAAAATTTTGATTATGTAATATAATAGGTATTGTATGCTGCTATATACAAAAATATGTACTCGTTAATTACTGGTAGCTATTTAAAAAATGTCCTCTTTGATCATGCGGAAGTACGGCACAAATTGAAAGTAATTTCATGTAATTAAAGAAAGTATTTTATTCCTTTCTTTTAATGAAGAAAGACATATTGTTGAACAAAAGGTACTTGTAGAATTAATTATTTTGACAATTTAACCATGTAGGCGGAATTAACAATTTTGAAGATTTTAACCTATGACAATTACAACAGTTGCCAGAATTTGACATAAAGTCATAGGTAAAACCGTTTGCTAAAAAATCAAAGAAGACACGCAAATTTTTAAACGTTTGAAGACGTAGCCCCAAACGAGACATTTTGCATTTTTTTCTGGATCGTGGGTTATCATTCATCACTACCGAATTTGTAGAAAAGAAGTGTTTTTATTCTTTTATTAATCCTCTTATTTACTTTTATAATAACTGTCTTTATTTTTTTAGTATCTTTTCGATATTTTAATATGTAGTTATTCTTCTATTCGGGTCGGAGACGAATCCAACAAATCAGAGATCATGAATATCGGCCCAGCCGTTCTTGAGTTATAACTTATAAGTGGTGTAACATACACGACTTTGTTTTACATTACAGATATAGATTACTGTCAAATTTTGAGAAATTACTCTTTTTCAAGCAATAAAATAAAATAAAAACAAAACACCGTTAATACCACAAACATATTACAGAATCAATCTAGCTACGTTTGTTTCGGAGATACAGGGTAAAAACGCAAAGTTTGTTTTTTGAGACGTTATTATACATACCCATATAAGATAGAAAAAAGGTAAAAACAGTTTATTTTAGATATTTTTTGTAGAATCTAGAGGCGTAGTAAAAAATAATTTTGGGGCACCATTTATGAGATTTCACCCAAAGTTGATATTTTTTAAATGCAACACCCTGTATATCTTAACGTTTTTTGGAATACGTACCTATATATTTTTTTAATTTTAGGCATGAACTAAAAATAAAAACTATATTTTTTAAGGTTTTTAAATAGTAGACCATGGATTCATGGAGATTTTGTTTTGTTTATCGTATCCATGGTAATTAAGATCAATCAATGAAAATCCAAAATGTTGAAAAATATTATATAATATATAATCATATAAAAAAAGTTACTACACCTTACTCCACTAGATTCTACGAAAAAAATATATAAAATAAGCTGTGTTTACCTTTTTTCTATCTCATATGAATAGTAAGATATAATAACTCCTCAAAAAGTCAAACTTTAGTAATAATTTAAATAACAATAAAATGGGGAATGTATTCAGAGATTTTGGGCAAATTCATTTCATTAAATACATACTACACCATTGAATTTATAACTATCACTAATTCAATGACTACACTTATTAACGCGCTCCTAGTGAGTTTATAAATTTGCGGTGTCTGTCCGCCTGTTAGAACGATATCTCGATAACGAATGGACCGATTATGATAAAATTTAGTAGATGGATTCTTTATCAAATTTGTAGATCGTAGTTCATGAATTGGCAATGTAGCCCAAAAAATAAGGAAGGCCCTTTTGACATCTCCGTGAGTTATGAACCGAATTGCATGAAATTCAATATGCGTATAGCTTTAGCCATATAAAACGCAATTCTAAAAATTGAGCCTAATTGATCAACATTCACAGTGCCCTTTTCGCATCTCGACCATTTATAACCCGAATTGCAAACTTTTTTATTTATGAAGGTATTCAAATGAAATTTGATACATAGCCACTTGGAATAAAAGCAAATTTACTAAATCTGGTTTTGTGTAGGATGTGCAGTGCCAACTTTCTTATTTATGGAAGCAATTAAATGAAATTTCATACATATACACTTTAAATAAAAGCAAAACTAACATCAGGTTAAAAATTTGGTTTTGCACATGCTATAGCCATACTCAGGAGCTTGTTTTCTATATTTGTTTAGTTTATTATATAAAAAATGTAGCTTTATGAAGTGCGAAGTGCTGATATCGCAAGTACCTACATAATAGCAACATTTTTCATAAAAAATACGCTAAAAATTAAGTCGTGCTATATTTGAAAACCTATATACAACAATATAATGTATAAGGGTAGGTATACTCCGAAATTACCGTTTTATTTAGAAAATTTGGGCCAGACAGTCGTACACTTTTGGGTGAGTCCAGAATGCCGCATTTAAAAAAAAAAGATAAAAAAGTATTAATGTGGCGATGATGTAGACAATACTTTTTTTTTACTTCAAGTTAATTTTTAATAAGATAAACTAGTAACGTTTTTTAAAAAAACCCAAGCGTTAAAGAAACTCACAATTAAACATCAGAGAATATGGAAAGCAGAGCACCAAACTATGCAAAAGTTAAACAGACCCTTATCATTTCATATAAGGCGCACTTTTTTAAAATAAAAAAACGCGATATTCATCTCAGAGCTGTCTGTCACGGAAAAAATAACATTCAAAAAAATGAAATAGACGTCATGTGATTCGCTTGTTTTATTTTAAGCAATGTAGAAAGTAGGCGTAGCGTAATGGTTTTGAAATCAAAATACAGGGGGTTTTTATTTCCAATTTAATATAGGTAGGTAGTTAGAGCTTCTGTTTTATTGAAATGATCGTTGTTTACAAAACAGTCTGTATATCTAAGGAGTGTTCCATTAAAAACCAAACCGAATGATTCAACATCTACATGTTGATCTCTCGATTGTTATATAGCCTATGGATACGAAGTTTTTTATAGGACCCGTGTACTTTGTTTTTCTACAACGAAGGAATGAATGGTAATCAAAATCCAAAATAAAAGTTACAACCGGGTATATCATAATTTGGCAAATTATTTACTTAGTCAGGCACTCGGTAAGGCATTATTTATGTTAAGAGTCTTAAGTTGAGGGTTGTTTATAGAAACCGCGTTTCCACAATTTAGGGAAGGTCAAAACTAGAGCAGGAAGCAAATGTTTTGTTTAGCAATCGTGCTTGCCACTGTTTAATGTTTACTTTGTGTTTTGCACTATATACGCCGAATGGTTCTTGTCAAATGTATGTTTGTTAATTTTACATACAAGATGGTTTACCTACTACAACTGGTCGAATACAGGAATGGACGCTATGTAAACACTCCCATATAATTTCTAATGCGTACCACAGATGACGAATCCGACCAATCTTTGTTTTTACAAATTATAATCCGAAAGATAGGACTACCGGCACGTCCTACGAAAATCGGCACCTCTGAGAAACGGAAGTTATAAAGAAAATAGATTCTAAATTACTATAATTTATTTAATGAAGTGGCGCGTTTGGGCGATTTGCGAAAAGGAATAGTTGTTGAAAGCGCAAATAATCGATCGATTGCATATTTAGGACGAGTTCCACCATGGCGGCGCCTAAACAGTTGCGTCCATTTGTCGGTGTCTTCGGACATAGAGTGTCCATTTGGACTTCACGCGGAGATTTAACACTTCATTGAGTTACTTTAAGCCACCGACTGGCACCGTATGACACTCGAGTGCACATTCTATTTAAATTATTGCAGACATGACATAGGAAACATAACCACCCAAACCCCATCATCCTTCCGAAAAACCGCACGCCAAATATTAATAATTATAAAATACTAGTAGTTGTCTGGGGGCATGGCGCCTATTTTTATTTACATAAAAGCTTATTTTAAAGCTTTTTTGTCCTTTGTCATAAAATTTCAAAGCAAATCTAAATTTATTACCACTTTCAGAAAGCGTGCCTGCGTTATCTGTATCTATTCAGGTATACAGGGGGTTAGTACTTCAAGTGAAGTGGAGATTATTGCAGGTAAAACCGCATTTGTAACTGACACCGGCTAAATATTTAAATGAGTCTTCAAATTTTCATTGTATTCGGTGATTATCTTGAAAACAACCTATTGTTTTGAGGGTCGGTTTGTGTTGTAAGCTTATTGAAGTATCCTTTCTTGTAATGGATACCTTGTACCTAACGCACCGTTTAGGTAATTTGGGTAACTGGTTATAGACAGAATGGAAAACCTCAAATTCACGTACAGAATTTGGTCCGTTAGGTAATTATTATACAAAAAAGTGTAGGTATGTTAATTACAAGATATTAAAGAACGATAGAAAATAATTCGATTATTCAGTACTGATCCAAAGATATCATCGACTTCTACTAATTAATAAAAAATATCGCGAAATACGTGTTTTATTAATAACTTAGCTTACCAAAACTAATTACATAATAAATGAACACTTTCCAATGAGAATCGCGGGATAAGTAAAAAAAAGTTACTTACCGGCCCATTTTGGTAACAATCATCTCCGTTTTATGTTCGTGAAATTTATTCCAAAGGTCACTGTTTTGTAACTCCACGCAGACTTTTTCGGACTCGGCTACCGACAGAAAAATAAAATATTAGTTTACGCTGTAAAAATTTTTAAAAATCAAAAATACCTTTAATATTCTCCATTGTTGGTAAAAGCAAAAACGCACGCGAAAACTAATGTACTTGAAAGAAGCGAAATGTGTTTAACTTTAGCACTCAAAAAGGCAACTGTTTACGTGAACAGTTTGTGAATTTTTAAGTCCCGATTTTGTCCCACTTCACCCACGAGCGACGATTGGCCAGTGGTTACCTTAAGTCTTTAAACGTCACCCCATTGGCCGCTAGTTGTGGCGATGAGATAATTACTCATTTAACCAAATAAAAGGCGCTATGAACATTATGAAAGGGTTAAGATAAGGTAATGACATCTATTGTTTATAATGTCGATCGCCTTAAGTACCTCAACAAACATTAGCTTTCACAATGGATAAATGATGTACATTATCATATGAATATATTGAAATATGCGGACCAAATTTCCAATTTTATCAAATTTATTTGTAAATAAAGCTACGTAATCAACATTTCTGGCAAACTGTGAGAATGTTACGTTGCTTTCTTCAGATATATACGAGGTGTTATTCAGTACCATTATCACTTACTAACATAAAATAAGCTTTGGATAAGCATTTGTTACATAGCTCTTGGCTCTCTGTTAAAGTGCAATCAAAATGAATTGTCATTTCGAGAAATTTTTAAAGTTTACTTTGCATCACTAGATAAATCGGTAGGTGCTACAACATTAGTAAATTATTCGTATTACTTATTTAAGTTCTACTGATTTACTTCCGTATTTTAACAGAAATCAGTACCTACCTACCTATCTGCCTATACTTACGCATATAATTTAAGGGTGATGTTGAACAGGGAATTTACGTACCTAAACATGACGATATCTTCGCCTAAAATTGTATTATACAGGGATGAAATGTAAATCTGAAACGAAAGATGCTATTGTTAGCCCCCAAATTAAAAAATTTAAATTGTTAAATAGTGCTAGTGTTATGCTAAATTGTGCTGATCCAATTTTAATTTGTGTTGATCTGGAAAATCAGTTTTCCTTGAAATGAAACGAAGGGGCCAATTTGATTCACAGCCCCCCGGTTTTTTAAGTTCCAAATTCCAACTACTTTAACGAATTGCACTCGATGCATATTGGATTGTGCCCGTCAAATTTTCGAAAATATAGTCTTACGGCACACGCGGTAGCTCCTGCACCCAAATTTCAAGAGCCAACTTCACTTTTAGCGTTTTAGCCCCAACGTTTGTTACAAATATGAAATCGGTGATAATGGCACTGATTCTGCTCGAGGCATATTGGATTGTGTCAGTAATATAAGTTTGAAAATAGTCTTACTCAAATCTCGAAGGCTAACTTGACTCCTATAGCCCTCATCACGATTCTTACAGATATGGAATCAGCAATAATGTTAATCACTTGTGTATATGTATATTGGATTGTGTCATTATTTATTTATTTATTTCATGATAGTTCCAGTTCTCACGTGCCTCTGGAACCAATTACACTCTCGACTACCGGCCTTTTTTAAAAGTGTGATACAAAACGACAGTACCTAATCGCTCCCGAGATTTGGGTGTTGTAGCTAATGGAGTAGGTACCGTAAGACCATCTTCAAGCACTTCATAAGATTGCCGCGAAATTTTTACATATTTACTTAATAAGCTTAAAATTACATAAATTAAAAAAGGAATTAAAATAATTATAAAATAAATATTCGTTTTTTATTACAATTCTGATTTTTAGTTTCTATTTTATTTATTTGTTTCAAGTTTCATCATTCATTAATCAATCATATGCTGGTATTGCATTACATCAGACTTTCTCAATCTTATAACTTATATTTGGGGTGCATATAGGGTGGTATGGGAATCGAAAACGTCCTATTTTGGTTTTGATCCGTAACCATCTTCAAGGTTGTCGAGGGTGTCAAAATTTTAAAAGTCATAACGGCTTGAAAAATTTTTTTAAAATTTTTTTCGCATAAACTGACCAAAGTGGCTTAAAAAACTCTACAAAAAAGTTCATTACAATTTTTTTCCTTTGTTTTTGAGAATTTTTTAACTGAAAAGTTAAACTATTTATTTTATTTTTCTAAATTTCATTTTTCTCTAAAAGTAAGCATCAGAGTGAAAAATGTCAATTACAGAAAAGATGTGTCTTGATGAGGTCTATAAAAAAGGCTTCTACACTTTTTGCGTCGGGTTCAAAATAAAGGCGCTAGAGGAAATTTTCTAAATGTTATACTATGGCCAAAGATAATTGCAATGACTATTAAAAGTTGTTGGAAAGTCAAGTCGGAGTTTACCTGACAACTATTAAATGCTTTTGTGTTTAGAATTTTTGTGTGTAAAGACTTCTCATCCTTCATCTTTTTACTAACTGTAAAAAAGCAAAAAAATAATAATACTAGGGGTGCCGCGAATTTTGTTTAATAATTTTAGTGTGCCGCCAGACAAAAAAGTTTGAGAAACACTGCTCTAGAGTATCCGGATGATTATTCAATTTGTATTTCATTATTTCATTATACAGTGTGCGGCAAAATTATGATACAAATTCAACAAGAATTGACTAACTTTTACTTTCTCGACTCAACGTCACGGGAAAGTATTGTGGACGCGCTAATAAAATATTATTAGATGACGACGGAAATATCCGTTTTATTTTTTCTGTCTGTCTGTCTATATGTCTGTATTCTTCCCCGCCGGCGCCTAAACGCTTGAGCTTAAATTTAGTAGATGAGCTTCGGTTAATTCTGGAAAGAACCCATTAGTTTTAGGTTAAAATCACCCCAGCAAGGGGCACATAGAAACATAGACTAAATTCATTTTAATTGTAACAGTAAAAAAAATAACTATTTCGTATACATACCGTAAAGAAATTGTCTATTACGGGATGTGGAGAAAATTTTTATGACTTGTGGGTTTCCAGTAAATCACATTTTTTGAATGCAAAAAAATGTCCCTTATGTGATGGTTCTGTCCACCTGTCTGTCTGTTCCTAACTCCTAACTTAAGAGCGGAGTGACAAAAAATTCTCCTACTGAAAATAGTATGCGATTCTTCGTATCTTGTTATTTCTTATGGATTTTTACGAGGGTTGGCCCACCGCCTAAAATTTGTACACTGTTGAAATGGCAATCACTTGCAGTTTAAGTGACGTCACAAAAAGTAGTATACACACTGTATATATGTTATAAGAACATGTCGGTTTTTACGTGTGGAATAAAATCAAGTTTTTTTGGCAATCTCGCGTGTATTAATTAACTCGCCTACCTCTGAACACGAAAACATTGTGCACTTTAATATACACTTATGTATAAATACATATAAACTTAAACGTATTTAAGAGATTTAAATGTATTTGGCGTACTTCATTTGTATTTAGAGTATTTTGGAATATTTAGCTATATTTAACTGAATTTCATATATTTAAGTGTAGGTAGAGATATTTATATGTATTTAAATGGGATTTAAGTGTATTTAATGATATTTAAAGTTGGATCTGCGCATGTGCAATCTATTTTTTTTCAAAAAGTACACATAACAATTAACAAAAAAATTCCCAAAGAGTTAACCGTGGTTTTCAACAGAACCAATTTTATTTTTCTCTATCAATGCGTTTAACTGTTTCCTCAATGAATTTTTTGTTTTTTTTAGCCAAAATGATGGCTAAACTAGTTGCTATAAGTAGTAGTAAGGAGATCAAGTTTGAAATTACATAAAACTTAAGCTTTGGCGAATCAAGAATCAAAATGCAACAAAGGTATAACATTTATAAGCACAATAAACAGTCAAAGTGTAAAATTATGAGCAGCCGAAAAAATAGATCTTGCAAGAGGCACAAAAAAATTCCTTCCACAATGCAAGCCTCGACAGCATAACGAACCAAATATGAGACCAAATAGCAAAAAAGTAGCTGTTAAGATAAAGATCTGAGAGCGACACAGTCGTGTGGATGGACCGACCCCGACGGATCCACGGACGGGGGCATAAAAGTGGCCACAATAGCACATTTTTTTATTTTTGTGGAAATGCGCTAAAACCTTGGCGCTATGTACGCGCAACCCCTTTTCTGTCATATTCAATTTTCTTTTCTTTTATAAGAAGCATCTTCTGTTAAAATGTCTTGTCAATTTGGATAAAGACTACAGTCGGACCGATCGTCGTTGCCCCGATGCGGTGGAGAACCGGCCTTAGCATATATAGAATTGAGAAGCACAATAAATGGCAAAAGTGTAAAATTATGGTACATGAAAAAAATTGATTTTTTGCTAACGAGCGATCAAAAATGAGCGGTGGGCGAGTTGCCTTTGGAAGTTCAACAATACTCATAAAGATCTAGCGGCAACAAAGCAGAGGGGACGGACGGACAACGTGGCCACAATAGCGCATTTTTTGAATATTTGTAGAAATGAGGTAAACAATATTCCGGAGTAGCTTTAAAATCGCGTAAGTATTTTTCACAATTGTTCTTAAAGATTCTTGGAATATTATCTCTGACAATTTGTTCTACTGATTTTATATCATCATCACTTATTTCTGATGAGCTTATTTGATTATCAAAACCAGTAAAAGTTGGGAAGTTTTTTAAATATTCCGGAGAAACACTCCCATTTCTAATTCATATGAAGTAATAATATCTGGTTGCCCCTTCAGTTGCTCTGAGATTGTGAATGATCTATAAAACGACGAAAATAATTTAATTTTTTTTCTTTATAAAATTGTCTTTCTTGGCCATTATGCCAAATGTCTGTATTGCAATACCTAAAGCGAGCGGTAAAGGACTCTCGGAATGGATTGGTTGGCTGTTTTTGATTTTTTAAATTAAAGGGTAGAATAAAAATACTAATTTAATAATCAAATTATGGAAGCCGCGACTAGTTTCGACCAATGGTCATCTTCTGGCTTAAGGAAAATACACAATAAAACTTTTTAAAACATTTAGAAGTACACAATGCAAAATTTGTAAGACAGCATGGGGAAAAAACGATGACAATTAAACAATAACCTTAAAAAAATATCATAATTGAATGTAATCTTATAGTCACATGATGTAAAATTAATTGACTTTTAACATTAAATGAAATCTCGGGCTTAGGTGGAAGACGCCATCGAAGTGATTTAATCAGTCAAAAGGTATCTACGACATCATTACCTATACTGGAGACGAAACCTGGATTTATTCCTTTGAACTGAAATCAAAAGGTTAATCGAGACAATCAATCTTTTCAACTGACTCTAATCCTGTGACGTAAAACTTAATAAATTTTCTAAATTTTATCTATAACTGGAATACTCAGGTAATTACGTTGGCGTGGGTAGGTAATAATAAGATAATACCTGCACAATCAAAAAGTTCATCACATTATATTAACGAGTAGTGTAATTACGTATCTTAATCCTATTGTTAATGGTATATTGCAATGATTAACGGCGAATTAAGCGCTCTTTTGATATTAATAACCTGAATTAAGACCATGTATTTACGTTAAACAAACTCTTTGTTTTAAAACTGATCATTTAAAATCGGCTGATGTTATTCAGAAACCGACTGCATCATCTCATCACTACTTAGGTATATTCTTTTTCAGAATTCGAGAAATAACTTGAGAGTTTGGTAAGCATTCACAGAGAAATTGTGGAAATGGTATTAGTTCTAGAAATTCTTTCAAACATTTTTTTGCTAGAGCTAAATGTATCATTTCCATCCTTTAATTGAAATTTGAAACTAGTAAAAAGGTCTAAGGGGTTAACGTATGTAGTTGGGTCGTCGCACATACACATGATAAAGTAGGTACTAAGTATTTGTCGTACAACCTGCATTTTTATGTACCTACCACTATTGCATTCTGTTTTTATTCCGCGCTCGCAACATTGTTTTCGAAATGTCCATGAACCTAGCAGAGCAAGTTCAGCAGAACACAATCAAACATATTGCATAATTTGGTGCTAATTAAGTGCCCTATTCCCGAATTAAATGCTCCATTTTTTAAATTATTACATGTTTTGCCAGGTTCATATATGAACTCAGCAGAACACTACCTCAAAAAACCAAGAAAATGAAAAGTGAACTAACTATAATTAGGTGCTAATTAAGTGCCCTGTCCCCGAATTAAATGCTCCTTTATGTACCTGGCAAAACGTGATAATTTAAAAAAAAAGCATTTAATTCGGGAATAGGGCACTTAATTAGCACCTAATTAGCACCTCATTATGCAATATGTTTGATTGTGTTCTGCTGACCTTGCTCTGCTAGGTTCATTGATATGTTTTCGAATATCAATCAAACTTATTAGTAGATAAAGCTTTAGTGATAATACGCTACTTTTTTTAATCTCTCAATGACATTTTGATTCTTTTGATCTATAGAATTCTTAGATTTCTAGGGTGTTCTTTGAATGTAGACTTTCAAAAACAAGTTGTTCACAATTTTTTCATCTAAATTCACATATTTTGCACCTTTAGCTCATCAATGTTGTCAGGTGAAGTCGTACCAATAGGTACTCTACCAAATGTCCCTCAAAAAATGAAATGAACGATAGTCAAGTCGGGAGACCCTTGTGGCCATCCTAGGTCACTTCCCTATTTACCAGGATCGTCGATTGAGCCACCGCACAACTGGAGCAAATGCTACTAAGATAGCTATCTAAATCATAAATGGACGCGTGTTTGCAATTTTTGTGATTTATAAAATTACAAAAAATTATAGTCCGTAATTGGGTTTGAAATAAAAGCTTTACATATTTGCATATCAAAATCTATTTCCTATAAACACAAATGCAAACACTTGTCGCTACGTACAAATACTAAGTAACCATAAAATTAACAAAATATTTAACCCAATTTTAGACAAAACCAATCGAGAAACATTACAACCCTTGCGTATATGTTTACGTTTAGAGCGCATCAAATTGAGTCTAGTCTGATCCCTATCTATTGTTATCGATATACCTTCGTCACTAAAAGTGCAAAAGTAAAAATTTCATGTTTCTGGTAATTGAAGTTTGCGTAAAATATGCGGTCTAATGGTACTGACGCCAATTTGTAATGGGTACTTAGTAGGGCGACAGACAGGCAGTTCAGACTAGGCGTCAGAAAGACCCCTGCGGGATTTAACACTTAAAGAAAACAACGGATTATTGTAGGAAACAGCTCGCTTCTTAGCACCTTCATTATACTTCGAAATTTGCATTTACGTTACACGTCTCAGTTACCCCTAGCCTTTTTATACTTTCGCTCAAGTTAAGTAGGTACGTGTCTATGTCGTCTCGTCCATCTTTTGAAGTAATGACAATTACGGTTTGCAGACTCTTATTTTTCGGCGCCTTTTGGGGATTGGATTGGTTAATCTGTTAGCATGATTAAACTGTGTGATTTGTAATGGCCTCTCATCAACAGACTTCTAGGTACCTAATCTCGTTGTCTTTTAAGATTTCCGTTTCGTATTCCACCCTTATTGTTAATTTTGAATTATGAAGTGTCTCTGGGTACTGTGTAGGTAGTATCATGGTAGTATCACCTAGTTTGGAAGAAAAAAAATTGAAAATTATAGGTATGTCGATTTTTAAAAAAATGATCGATATTTAATAAATCGATTTTAGTAAAACGATACTTCCCTATAACTCAAAAACTCAGTGCAGATAAGACGTATAGGTCTAATTTCAACAAATAATTTACGGGTTGCAATATAAAGTGCCTCTAGAGTATGTTTGAAACTGTCACTGGAAACACAATTACGGTTATTATGATCTGGTTGTTCACTTACTACCTATAATAGGTATGGTGTATATAAACTAGAGCGAATAAAACGTTTCTTCCACAAAATAATGGATCGGTATTTAAAATTTCGATTAAGAACTTTTAAATGCAAAAGTTGTACCTACCTTCATCAGAATGTCTATTCACGATCGGCGTCCTATTGAAAAAACCGGCAGTTTTGTCTGTAAGTGCCCAACGACGATTCGATTATTATATGGAAAAGTAATGCAAATAAATTTATCAAAAGTTGTACCGAGTGACCCAATAAGACTGTTCCTTGGCCATATCTCGAGAACCGTTTGTCATATGACCTAGGGGAAAAAAAATTATTCGGTAAATCGGACATGAAGAATCGCTGGAAAATATTTTCAAGTTCTAAAAATGACCAGCAGAGGGCGTAACTGCTATCTTACATTTTAAAATTGCATTTTCTTTAAATTTCGCGTAATAAACGAAAATTTTTTTTCACATTTTTAAACAGAACCAGTTTATCTATCATTTTCGTAAAAACAAAAACTCAGATATTTCAAAAACAAAGATGGTGTGGGGCGTTCAATTGTTTTTGCAATAACCTGCTTGAACTTCTTAACCGTTTGATAGAGTTTAACACATTTGGTATGGTTGAAAAGAGCATTCATTGGGCAATGAGAATCAACCAAAATATAGTTAATTTAGTTGAATCCTTCTCTCTGTTTGATGTGAGCTGTGCTGTGATTGGTTAGTTGAAGTAAGTTAAAAACGGCAATGACAGGTCTCATCATATTGAGTAAATTATTAAAAACTATACTATTCATTCGTAGGTAATTTTCATAGCAATGCAGATCATTAAACTTCAACTCATTTCTGACCATTGCCAATACACCTCGACCAACACCTTCGTTTCTTTTTAGAAGCCATGGCTTTGACCATAACCGTTTTTTCTTGCTAATTTGCCTTTTATAACTATTGTATGTAATTACAGTTAGCCCCAATAGAGATAACATTGCAACCAATTTTTTATTCATTGCTTTATAAATTTGAGATTATCAAAATACAACCTTAAATTTTACTGTAGCTTGAAACACAGAACAAAAACAGTTAGAACAAACTGAGGTGTCTAGTGTGACCACCTAGTTTGAAACTTTCATCAAACTACAGAATTGGGACGTCACTAGTCCAGTTTGATCAAACCAGTTTGTCAAACTGTTTGATACTGTGACATGGGCTTAAAGCTTAAAGAAAAGATTACAAATTCAAAAAACTGCACTTTCTGAATGTAAACACAGCAGAATAATTTACAAATTACGGCTGTTATTATTTTATAATGCATCGTGTTTCATTTATGTTTAATTTTCCAAGGCCTACCTCCTAAAAGTGTAGGGTCCTTTTCCAAACAATCTTTCGCGCCATTGACAAATACCGGAAATAATAATTAATCTCATTTTCCCAATATTTGAGGTTAGGAACGAGATTTGGAAAAACGGTTTTCACTGGCCTTTTTGGGTGTTATTTGGCTACTTTTTTATAAAGAAAAAGTCATATCATTCCATTTGATTTTTTTGGGTTTTTTAGGATTTTGGATCATAGTGTCAAAACTAGCCCCCTGGTGGAGAAGGATTCAACTAAATTAACCATATTTTCTTGTTGCCCAAGGAATGCTATTTTCAACGATACCAAATTTGTTACAATCGGTCAAACGGTTAAGATGTTAAAGCAGGTTATTGCAAAAACAATTGAACGCCCCACACTATCTTTGTTTTTGAAATAACCGAGTTTTTGTTTTTACAAAAATGATAGACAAACTGGTTCTCTTTAAAAATGTGAAAAAATAATGTTTAGTTTATTGTGCGAAATTTTAAGAAAATGCAATTTTAAAATTTAAGATGGCAGTTACGCCCTCTGTTGGTCATTTTTAGAACCTGAAAATATTTTCCAGCGATTCTTCATAACCGATTTGCCCAATAATTTTTTTACCCCTAAGTCATACGGCGAACGGTTCCCAAGATATTGCCGAGGAACAGTCTTATTGGGTCACCCGGTTCACACGAATAGAATTAAATTTTATTCTCATTCTCTTTGGTTACGACCATATGAAACAAAACATTAACAAAATCAAAGAAAAAAGTCAAAGTAGTGTGCAAACAATCCAAATGTTTAACCATTGTATAGTTTAACTATAACTGCACGAAATTTTAACATACCCTGTACAACAAAACGGCTCTTCTAATTATATCTATGGTAATACAATTATACAACATAACCTCACACAGAATTTCAAACATCCTTATTAATGCATAGTCCTTTTTTAAATGATTTCATACGAAGAGAGCACAGACGATGTCATGTGGAATGAAGAAAGCCTTTCAAGTAAAGAAGGTTTAGATATGCTGCAAAACAAAGTCAATTGCAGTTTGGAAGGACGACTGACTAAGACGCTCCAAAAAAATGTTTGTGATAATGAAAATTGTACTTTTATTTATGTTTCTATTAAAGTGTTGTTATTACAATGCCATAAAATGTGGACACATCGAAACCTACAAATGGTTGGTAAACTTAAAATTGACAATGATGTTCGATTATACTCACTATACAATGAAAAGGATTTCGTTTTGCTATATTTATGTTCGAATGCACTTAAACATACAGTTAATGCTCAAATGTACGCGCTAGTTTATGGATTTCCCAAATTCTATGTGAACAACGAAGACAATAATAAACATACAACTGTTATGGTACATGTTACTAGCTTGGTGAAATTAGACAATCTATCAACAGCTCAGAAAATGGAAAGCCATTTATGTAAATTTAGAAATTAATTCACCAATAAATTTTGCATATCTGCAGTGATTTCTTTAGCATCTGGTTTACTTGGGCCCGTCTGCATCTCCCCTTGACTTAGCCGTGCACAAGCCTTTTTGTGGACGAACCAATGTAACCTTTGGCATTCTCTATCACAATATTGCACCACTTTACATTTTGAACATTTTTTACTCGGCTTTTCTTCGCCACATGTACTGCACAGTGGAATGTTGTCAACAAATCCTCGTTGGCCGTTAATTGCAGATACCACGACACTAATTGCCGACGGTGGATCTTTGGCAGTTAAACTCGCTACCATTTGTCTAAATAACGTGCATTCCCGAAAGGGAAAGCTACGTACACAATCCCGCAAAAATGCATCCATGTAATCTAAGTTGCCGTCCTTGCTAAGCTTCAGAAAATTGCGACTCAATACTTCGACGACATCAAACTTCTTTTCGCTTTCTTCTTTCGCGGCGTGATTTTTGTGTATCTTCGACACTTCCTTAACTGTGTAGCTTAAGTGGTGATATTTAAAAGCCATAACTTCATTTGTGTCAGTCCCCCTTTTCATCTCGTGCTCGCACATTAATTCCAGCACATTGGATACTTCATGTAAATGGTCCATAAGACCAGCAAATCGATGTAAATTTAAAGCGATCCGTATCGGATTTACATTGATTTGCATGACAAATTTATGAAAGCTTTCCGTTAAGAATGGTGGAAGATGGGGTTTAGTTTGTTGTCCCTGAAGTGTGGTATAATGTTCGATTTCCGATTTCGGTATAAAATTGTTAATTGTGGATACACAGTTGTGATTGCCAACAAAGGCTGCCATTTGTGAAGGAGTTCTTCCAACAGTATTTATTACGTGCGATTTAGCACCTGCTAAAAGAAGTAAGGCGCACACTTCTGCATTTCCCGACAATCCTGCAAAATGTAAGGCGGTGTATCCATGCTGGTGTTGACAAAGATTCACATCTGCGCCCTAAAGCGAATGAATTAGTTTTGCAAAGTTTTAGCAAGTGATTTTACGTACTCGATCAAGAAATAACTGCACCATCTCTTTGTTGCCTTTGTATGCTGCATGTTGCAGTGGGGTCATCATATTTTCATCCACAATGTTAACATCTTCCTGCACTACGAGTAATGTTTTAAGGAGCTCCACGTCATTATTTGTAATAGCTGTAAAGATCTTTTTCTCGGTTTCAGATATATTGGTACTCATTTTTGATAACTAGCACGAGGTTTCCAACTTTAAAGTATCAATAAATAAATGTTTCACAAAATTGTGGTTATGTCCGTAGTGGTTAGGTTGGGGTAGTGTATCCGCAACGGCTCTTCTGTTGAACAGTGTGTGAAATAGGTATATGTTATACAGAGTGGCGCATATAAAACGATCCACCTACTAAGTGGCTTCATACTTTGCGATTTTCATTGAGAGATCTGTGTACATAAGGTAGGCAACAAACAACGCTACCTCAAAAACGGTTTTTGACACGTTTCGGCCCCCAAAAATTAACTTGAACAAAATTGAAAGGCAGCATAATGCGCATACTTGGGCACATTTTTATTTTTAAAAAAGTATCCTCGATTCCGGCGCCCTCTTAATAATTATGTCCATCCTTCGTGCAATATAGTCTATAATACTCTTTCTTTTTACTTATCATATGTAAACTCTTTTTCCTACGACTCATTGAAAATGACATATGTCGTACGATTATGTTTACTTGAAAATTGACAAATTTCGCTCACTTTAAAACAAAATGTAACGGAAAACAAAACGCACCCGTGTGATTTGCTTTCTCATAAGATCGACCATAATTATATTAGAAAGCAAATCGCATGTTACGTTTTGCTTTCGTAGCAGTCTAATCTTCTTGTAACATCAACGTAGTAGGCGTACGTCAAACTCTAAAATTGCGATTATTTTATTCTTGAGTTCATTCGCTTGTGCTACGCATTTAATTCCTTACTTAATTGTAATGGTGAAAAGTGATTCTTCCATGGATGTAGAGTGTACTCCACCCAACATCAGGGAAGAGGCAAAATCCACTACACTCGAATTACTACCAACTAAATTGCGGCTGAGGTATGAAAAGTAGCGTACGTCTAATAATATTAGTAAATTTCTTGCAGAAACTCCAAACGACACGTACCTCTTTGCTAAAGTAATTATAACAATAGTTCGTTAAAGAGAAATTGAATCTATTTCGTATTTTTAGATAGTTTTAGTAGTTGGTTCGAAATAAAACTTTTGTTTCATTATGTAAGTAGATTTTTGGTTGTATGGAGAGTCGTAGGAAAAATAGTGTACAGTACATGACTCGTTTGAAAGCCACTTTTCACACGAGATCGGTGCATCGGTGACGTCATGTGACGTCACTAGTTCAGTTTAATCAAACCAGTTTGTCAAACTGTTTGATAATGTGACATGGGCTTTAAATGCCGCAAATAGAAGATGCGCATACGGGCAGCGATGGTCCCATTTTGAAAATACTCAAAATATATCACCAGCATATTAAATGCTTCTTGGTTAGAAATCGGCATTTCAGAAAAGATTACAAATTCAAAAAACTGCACTTTCTGAATGTAAACAGCAAAATAATTTACAAATTACGGCTGTTATTATTTTATAATGCATCGTGTTTCATTTGTTTAATTTTCCCAGGCCTACCTAAATGTGTAGGGTCCTTTTCTTTCGCGGCATCGACAAATACCGGAAATACATAAAAAGTAAATTAAGATACAATTTAAGCATTTTTATTAATTATAATTAATTAATCTCATTTTCCCAATATTTGAGTTTAGGAACGAGATTTTGAAAAACGGTTTTCACTGGCCTCTTTGGATGTTATTTGGCTACTTTTTCATAAATTCATTTTTTTAATTTTTTTAGGATTTTGGGTCATAGTGTCAAAGCTAGTCCCCTGGCGGAGAAGGATTCAACTAAATTAACTATATTTTGGTTGATTCTCATTGCCCAAGGAATGCTCTTTTCAACCATACGGAATTTGTTAAAATTGCTCAAACGAAGTTAAAGCAGGTTATTGCAAAAACAATTAAACGCCCCGCACCATCTTTGTTTTTGAAATAACTGAGTTTTTGTTTTTACGAAAATGATTGATAAACTGGTTCTCTTTAAAAATGTGAAAAATTTTGTTTAAGTTTATTATGCGAAATTAAAGAAAGTGCAATTTTAAAATTTAAGATGGCAGTTACGCCCTCATTTTTAAAACTTGAAAATATTTTCCAGCGATTCTTCATGACCGATTTACCCAATAATATTTTTTACCCCTAAGTCATATGACGAACGGTTCTCGAGATATGGCCGAAGAACCGTCTTATTGGGTCACCCGGTACAAGCGAAGAATCAATTTTTGACATTTTGTCTGAATGACTCTGAAATTAGCGATTTGATTAAAAGTCGGCAATTGTGTCATTAATTATATAATGTATATTTTTTTAAATTTAAGCTGAAGAGATCGGTTGCCTGTTGGCTTGGCAGAAGAGAAAAGGGGATATAAAAATTCGTTTCTATTGTATCCCTGCTGTTTTCAGAAAATATGATTTTGAAAAATTAAGGCCAACTTCCCAAGAGCACCAGAAAATTTCTCTAATAAATTTCCAAACTGTTAATGTTTAATTGTGTACCTACCTTCTTCAAAATTCAGTGTACCTCAATGTACTAAAATTTGTTTCAATTATTCGCGATGTAGATTAAAAGTGAGACCTCTGGTGGTAGCACATTCAACTTGGTAATCAATACAGTTGGGAGAAAACCGCCATTTTGATGGCTTTTTTTTTAATTTATAATGGCCAAAAGTACCTAATCAATATTGTAGTAATTATGGCTCTAAAAGTAAATCCACTTGCTTAAAGCGTCACCTATTAACACATAACAATTGCGTCCCTATAAAGTAGAAGTGTTACTTTTTTTTGAAACTCCTTCAAACAAAATTATTCTTAGCACAGCACGCCCTGCATCTAGCCCCGCATACAACTATTTTGCCTGTCCCTGTATATATTCCCACTTATGCGCGGCGCAAGTTTAAGTTATTCATTGCTGTGAAAGCTTTCGTTGAAGGCAAACATTGCCTTTGTGATTTACCTAGTTAACCCACCCAAAATCTGTCATTGCTATCGAAAAAAAATTACTGTGGGTATCACAGATACATACCACCCGCACACCTGCCCATGCGCGATTCTACCTTTTTGTGCCTAAGAATATATGTATCAAATTTGGTTCTAATCGGTTCAGCCGGAAATGAGACTTTGACACACTTCCGCATGCGCGATTCTGCCCAAAAGTTTTTTAACTCTTCTTTTTATTTCTAAACGCATGCGTACCAAATTTGGTTCAATTGTTTAGTCGGAAATGAGAGTACAGACGGACCGACAAGGGACAAACCGATATCATCGAGATTTTGTTTGATTCGGATTCCTGGTGTATTTCCGCAAAATAGTAGGAGGTCGTATTATTTTACCCTAATGCAACTAACGTGCGGGTGGTAAATAGGCAACTATCGCTTATCGCCTTAGTTTCATTATTGCTGCTTCTCAGAAGATCTAATTCCAAACAACAACAAGTAAAGTCCTTTTGCTCATTCCTTTCGTAATCATTCATATGTTATAGCACCTATACATGTGCCGTATAGATTCACTAAATCAAGATTAGAATCAATTTACTTTATTTGTATTTTTAGCAATGAACACGCTAATCATTGGTGTTGATATATTCTTTCAACATCCCTTTTATACGAAAAGATTAGCAAACATTACATATGTATATAGTCTATAAAAAAATATCGAAACCTTTCAGGTAGGATAGAATTAAGGGCTTTTGTTTTCAAGTCTAAAAAACGACATGATAAACTCAATTCACTTTAAAATTAGTACAACTTCACTTAAAAACATGTTGGAATTATCTATGTTTACAAACCGCTTCCAAATTCATTCGCCATTTGTAATTTGCACTTTCGGAAAATACGGTCCCAAAAAATTACGGTCAATTATTTCACGAGACCACCAGATAAACATTGAATAAGATATTTATAAAGTGGTGTACGGGTAAGGTTTCTGGGGTAACTGCTGGTTCTAAAAAGAAATAACGGTTCGGTTCTGCGCATTTTTTTCGGTCCATAACGGTTATTTTCGATTCTAGTTTTTCAGAAAGTATGGCATTCAAAAAATTCATTAAAACAACGCGATTTGTTAATTAATAGATGTGAAGCAAATGTCATGAATGCCAAAACCAAAAGTGTAGCTAATTTATAACGACAAGGGGAATCAAGGAGAAAGAGGGAAATATGTATATTTACACTTAATTTATTACTAAAAAACAAAAAAATTTATTTTCTAAAACCTCGGCCCTCCTTTTTTTTTAGTAGTGGCTAAATTAGCGCCACCGCCACCCGTAATGCCTTCAATTTCGACACCTTATTAAAAATTTATAATCCACCGATGGCAATCGTAGAGTAATATTTTATCTATTTTCAGGACGTGGTTACCGGCGCGTCCTTCAACTTCCAATAACCTGTTAAAACCGAAAAGAACCGAAAAAAGTAATATGGGTTCCGGTTCTCAATACGTTTCCATTGCTGAAGGAATAACGGTTTCGGTTCGGTTTTCGGTCCAGAAAAAAATACCGGTTTAGGTCCGGTTTTCGGTTCTTTTTCGGTCCGGTCCGGGTCCCTGGTTTTAGTACGACTCCATTGCATTTTAAAGAAGGGATAATAATATTTTGGATAACAAGTATGGAATAAGAATTTTTTTCTATGATGGTAATTATCGCTCGAGTAGATCATGGTGTCGACCCAATACAGATAGGGGCGCTTAATTCAGCATCATTTAGAATAAAAGTCAATCTTGGTATCCCTTAAGGTTTAGATCAATGAGTGCTTGCAACTGCGATTACCCCTAAAATAAAAACTTCGTACAAATTCTATGGATGTAATAAAAAAATCATTACGTAAAATAATCTTTTATATAAAGTAAATAGAGAAAATTATCGGTAATGGCTGGTACCGACAATTTTTTAACAGGATGTGTTTCATTACATTGGTGATATAAATCTCGATTATCATATTAAACGTAAACGATTATCAATACAGAATTACACTAATTAATTACTTAAGTTATGGAAGATATACGTTCTATAACTACCTCTAAGTACCTATGGAGTAATTAAATGGCTGATTAGTTACTCCATGCTTTAACCTATACCCTAATTAATGCTTAGGTATATTAAAGTACAAAAATCTGTCTATGTGCTTGCTAAAAGGTGAAGCATTACCTTTCATTTTCTTACGTTATTATCTTTTACTACAGCAGTTCCAAAATGATGTTCATTACTTAATAAGTATCACATTCATAACAATTTTGGCATCTAATCGTTGAATTTTTTCGCAAACATACAAATATAGAGGTACATAGGTATGTGAAAATGAAGTAAGTTTAATACGTGTCAACGTTTAAATGCTTTAGTATTGCTACATAACACAATAGTCTAAAAGAGTTTACATTTTTATTATCTACTATGTACTTAATCGCTGTAACCACCTTGATTAATTAATTTCATATTACAAGTAACAGTTTTTTTTGCAAACTGTCATGCATTTATGGCTGTTAATGCATTTCAGTTTGCAGGTTAAGAAAGCATTACTCGCTTTCATGCTATTCAGTACGTATAGTACCCTATATACTTACTTAGGTCGACTTTAACTATGTTTAAAATACATTCATTGTGTATATTTTGTGTATAATTACTTTTAAAGCTTATTATGATTACGATGATAGCAATTTTCTATAGATACACGTTATTGGCCTATTACATACCTACCTATCTACCTAGGCTGAAAACTTATAAATACCTATGGTGTCAATACGTCTACAACAGTAAAGCTGTAATATTTAAAAAAAAATGTCTAAACATAATAAACATCAAATCTAGTCGATTTAGTTTCAACTCACACTTCTGCTGCTGGGGTTTGGGGACTTGTTGGTGTTTCTGGAGATGCGAGCCTTACCTGTGTGCTTTCTGATTGAACAACGCCGTTTATTGTATTTCCCAGTTGAGTGTCGCGCCAGGGTGTTGTTAAAATCCTTAGCCTCTGAAAACAATCGTATATACCCGTTGGTATCTAAACTATTGCCAAAAAGGGTTTCTCGTGTTTACCGTTTGGTGAAAGTAGTAGCATATTGTCAATTTAGCTCACCTTATAGCACGATCCTGGCGTTCTTATGATTTTAATTATGGCAACTGTGGGGATCATTGCCACCGAGGATCCGGCAATGAACCATCCGAGTACATTTGCCCAATTCGGATAGACGTAATCTTCATAGCTTAAAGGTTCGTATCCCAGCAACCCGTATACTATGATAAATATCAAAAACAGCGGTGCCGCAAATCTCCAACAGAATCTCCAGTAAATACCAGGCGAAAATCCTATCATGTCCTTAATATCATCACAGAATCGTTGAGTACCTGTTTGTGAAATGTAATTACAAAATGTCATTCCCAGACGCCTTACCATAAATCCACGACACAGCAATCGCCTCGAAAAATACCGCAAATAGCATTGAGTAACCGGCCGCGTATCGATCGAGAAGATGGAAAAAGTAAAAGCCACCCTGTGAACATGACGCTAACCCAACGACAAAGTACAAACTGAACAAGCAAGCAACGAACAGCTCTCTGTTCCTTCCAATTTTAGGAAACTCATCACTTAACGCGGTAATAATAGCTTCCGATCCACCAAACTGAAAAATGTTCAAATAGTTCATAGGAAAACACCAAAAAAAACATACCGAGCTATCCAGTCCAAGCGTCAATAGCATCATAAAAAATATCAGCGCCCAAAATATACTCCCTGGCATGGTCGCTATTGCTGCCGGGTACACTACGAACACTAACCCAGGTCCCTCGGTCGCCACTTCTTGAATCGGCCGTCCAGCCGAATTCGCCATATAACCGAGGACCGAGAAAATCACAAATCCGGCCACGAAACTAGTTGCTGAATTAATTACGCTGGTCAAGAGAGCATCCCTGGAAAGGAAGGGTAGTAGCAAATTCGCAAATTAAAAGAGGGCATACTTGTAAACGTTGTTGTGGTATTTATTGTACGAAGCGTACGCTAGGAGTACGCCGAACCCTGGTCCCAAGGAAAAAAATACTTGGGTTGCGGCGTCAACCCATACCTAAAACAGTATCTAGTTATTAATGTTTTTCGGTGCACCCTTTTGATTTAACGATACGCATAAAAGCTCGTGTACTCAATTCTTTTAATGATAATTTAGAGCAGAGCTAGGCTACCAATATACGTGTTTAAAAGAACTCACTGAGCCGTAGAGATTGTTACCATCTATATATGTCCTTATTTTTCAATTCGATTTCTACTCTTACCTCCGCTTTGGTTATCACGGAAAAATTCGGATTAAGATAATATTTGATTCCCTCCGCCGATCCTGGTAAAGTCACCCCTCTGATTAAAAGTATGAGTAAGACCGCATACGGAAACAGTGCTGTAAACCAAACAACTTTCCCAGAAGTGGAGATGCCCTTCCACAAGGAAAAGTAGCAAATTACGTAGACTGCCAGTAAACATAAAGCTATATCCCATTTAATCGCGCCAAGATCGTGTAGACCCTCACTTCGGTGTAGTTCCAAAATTGCGCGGCTACAAAAATAAAAATCCATAATCTTAATGTAAAGCATTTTAAATTAATCCTTACTTAAAGTATTCGGAGGCGGCAGAGGCAAATCTTGATTCTGCGACAGGAAGGCCGTCTACCATTAGTGTTGTATTATTATATTCCGAGGAGTTTCTAGATGGAAAATCGAACTGAAACAAGAGTTTAGAATTTTTAATTAATCTTTGACGTTAAGTATATCTACTTAGGAGTTCTTTTTGAATATAACTAAGCACTTTAAACTTATAATATCTAATCAATAATCCGAAAATATTTCCTTACAGGCCTACAGTTTGGCGTGTTCCAGGGGTTATCGCAAGTTGTCCAAGGGAGCATACTTGTAAAGGATGCAAAGAAAAAACGTAATGCCCAGGCGATAATGACGTTGTAGTAGAAGTCAACGTAGAATGCAATTAAAACAACTGCGTAACCAATACCTGAAATAAAAAATCGTTTAATTGAAAATTGAATCACAAACTACTATTCACTACCCATTTAAATTAACATATAGATACGAGTATTTTATGTTTTGACGATAGAAAATAATTAAAAGGTTCCAATAAATCACATAGAATACGTTGTTTCTAATACAAACCGCTTAATAAAAGAACGCAGTACCTACCGCCCAAATTTAAAAGGTTAGAATTTAATTTCTGTTAGTAGAGCTTCGAATGTAATTTCCAGCTTTTATGAAAGGATTGATGAGGCCGATGAAGTGATAATGAGCTCTATCGCGGTGGCCACGTGACTAAAGCGGCGTTGATATTAGCGGCATTTGGAACGGTAGTAACATAAGATGCCGGAGCGTTCGAATAAATGCGATTCCCATATCATCGAGGTAAGGAAAGTGTCTAGTGTTGGGAGCGTAATTCTATTTGTTAGTGTATACTTCTATGCGAGTGAGCAATTATTCTATACGTCCAATAGATTTGCTTTTCGTTCCAAGATTCCGCCAAGGATTCGTTGGTCCTAGGGCGACGTTTAACCTCCCGTTAAACAGAGGTCAATCGTGGTTATATTTGGTGAATGAATCCAGTGGTTAGAAGAAGGTAAAGAAAATTTTTATTGATTTTAAATGTTGATATATGTCAATATTTTGCATTTTCAGGTTTAGAGAAAATAGGTTTCCTAAAATTCCCTGAAATGTAATCACCGTTACATGAGTTACGAGCCGACCATTTTTTTTGTTTTTCTTTAATCAATACCATAGTCTGATATGAATTTATTAAATATGGCCGTTCTCCCAACGTTAGTAGTTATTAGAAACTACCGGGTATCATCTTCGGTAGGTATTGTTTCGGCGATCTAATGCATAGGCGATAGATAGATATTGCCTAGTTATTCGTCCAGATGTTGTATTAGAATTAGTTCTTGGCTTGGACTAACAGAGCTCCTATTTTCGAAAACCAGAACCTTGTCTCTTCTAAATTTCGCATGATTTTCACCACGCTCTTCATGGTTTTATCGCTCGCTTACCATCTTGGCCTGTTCAATAAATAAGTCAAAGTTTCGTTCGAAGGCCCCAGAACGTTAATGCCCTTCAGGTCTTTCACTATCTGACTTTGTTTTTAGAGCTTACCGAATAACAGACACAATGGTTAAGTCTCATGTGAATCCAACTAGCTTCACCCCCTTTGGCATAAGCCAATTCAGTCTTTCAGTGGAACTAGCATCGTCCCCTGTGGTACTCCTGCCGTGCTGGTCAATTCATATGCCTGTCCTTTCGTGGCTGAGCGCCAGAGCGGAGTACATGCGGAAACTCTGCGGAACACATATTAGTAATACGAGAGTCTTTTCCCTGTTTTGATCCCTAAAAGGCGCTTGATTATTTTCTGAATCCGCTTCGCAGTGAATCAGGATATAACACACTTCTGCTTTCGCTTCCGCAAGTGGGAAAGTTATGCATATTTTTCACTTCCGCTATTTGATAACGGAAGTATACCGCAGTTTTTCAAATCTGGCATGGTACGCTGTGCGCTCTGATTGGTCGAAGGCACGTGACGTGAGTCATAGACGGGGTTTGTCAGCCGAGCGGGCCATCAGACTTGTCACGATTTGTTTGTATTTGTTTATCAATTCGTGCGATTTATCCTTAGACCATATAGTACATGGACTGCTAATTGTAACGAAAATATAGTCAAGGACATCGCCTGGGTATGTGAGTTTCAGGGTAAACGAGTCTATCCGAAGTTGTCCGATTAGACACGATTTGAGACTGTCAACCTATAAATTAACAAACGTCAATTAATTAATCGCCTAGATATGCCAAAAAAAAGCAAACTTATTGCGATTTGTGGACGTATAGAAGATAATCAGGAGGATTGAAATCTTCCCGTACTACGCGGTTACTATAAAAGCTACTCTTTACGCGATCCGAGTAGTGTTCATACGACTTTAGTTTACCCTGAGATTCACATACCCACGACTACAGTGCCCTCTATCCGTGACCATCCATTTTGTATTCAAAGCATAGGGCTAATAGCAGTCCATGTACTATATGGTCTAAGGTTTTATCGCACAGTTTAATAAATTAAACTATTTATTCTAGTGTTGATAAAATTTATACTAGTAGTTACACTTCGCTTCTGCTTCCGCTTCAATAATTCCGACTCCCAATAATAATCTTGCGATGCCATTAAACGATCTAGGTCTAGGGAGGAAGATTTATTTATTTATTTATTTATTTATTTATTTATTTATTTATTTATTTATTTATTTATTTATTTATTTATTTATTTATTTATTTATTTATTGGATGCCATTGGAGTTAATTATTTTAGGTAAAAAAATTAAGCTTGAAAGTTTTATCACGAGGAGTTCCTCGGGGATCTATCCTTGGACCATTGTTGTTTAATATCTATACTGTAACAAACGGATGATATAAAATTTTATCATTCATTTCATTTTATGTACCGGATTAGGAACCCGCTCTTCAAAAGTATAATTCGTACGTACTTAGCCAACATAATGTTAGACTAAATCCAACAAAGACTGTATCTATCGTTTTCGGCACAGAATACGATTGCAATTTCCTTTTAAAAGACGTATCAAAATGAGAAAGATTAATAAATCCGAAGTTACCAACCCAAGTCTCATGATGGACAACAGCTTCTGATTTACATCGCAAATTAGTAAATATGTAAAGCAAGCTAACGTAAATTTAAAATTGATTTATCTTCATCGTCGCTATTTGACACAAAACACAAAGACAAAGGTAATTTACATATTACTCTCAGATTTATCAATCGTGCCTCACGTTCCACATTGAAAATAAGATTCAACGCGTACAAAATAGTAGGTACTAGCACTAGCTAACAGAAAGCTAGAAAAATCGGAAATATGTAACTGCAAACTGCTCTGTTGATTTCCTAAAATGGCCACTCCTCCTTATTGACGAACTCCAAGCGAGTTCATAATTTTGCGGTGTCTGTCCATCTGTCCGTCCGTCCGTCTGTCAGTTAGCACGATATCTCGAAAACGAATGGTCCGATTTCGATGAAATTTTGCAGGTGGATTCTTTATCATATTTGTCGATCGGAGTTCTTGAATTGACAATGTACAACATTCACAGTGCCCAAGCACAAGGATCCGTACATAAGCACCTGACATGAGCACTATGCACGAGCACCAAGCACTAGTACCGGGCATAAGCACCAAGTACGAGCACCGGACATGAGCACCAAGCCTTGCCACCCTTGCTTGAAAAAGCTATTTATGAATGGACTTTCTTTATATCAAGTAGCCAAACTGTACGACAACATAGTTTTGAAAGTTTTTGGAAGGCATTCAGTTTTGACGGCGTGAGGCATTCAGGTCGTAAGAAGTATTACGGGTAAGAATTCCAGGATTCACTAGGAGTTGTGGTAATATTCAGGAAGAACGATAATCGCGTTAATTAGTGCGAGATCGGTATGGAGGAAATGAATTGACGAATTATAAGTATACGCATAACCAATCAAACGGTCGTGTTCATTCTCTGACTAAACCGAATGTGGAGTCTACGGAGATAAAATTGTGAATTAATTGATTGACGTAAAATTTCCCTCGCATTCGGAAACAGAGGTTGGAACCCATATGAATTATAGGGTCCGGTTCCGCACTACTAGCAACCACTAACGTTAAATCTATAAGCTTCAGAACTAAATTTTAAGACCTGGGAGAGGCGGCGACGCCAGGCATATGTCAAAGTTTCAAGTTTCAAGTTTCAAGCAATATGAAACGGATTTCTCTCTCACAACGCGCAGCATATTTACTCTATGTCGTACAAGAGCACTGAAAAATACCGATTCCAAGACCGATTCTTTATTGGCACTAATAATAACGATAGGTACCGGTATCGGTTTTCGTTATTTTAACTTTTTGAATAACGGTTCCGGTTTCAAATGAAGGGCCCATAAATGAAATCGGTTCCGGTTTCGGTACCGCTTATTTTCGGTTCCGGTTCCAACTCCTGGTCGCAAATAAACAGAGACGGGGATGGCATTCATTCATTTACGGGTAACTTGAACGCTGACGTTGCCTTTCTTGCTAACAGTTCACGAACCTTCGATCTGAGTATGACGGAAACTTTCAGACTCTGTTTTTGTGTAACCATTGCTGAGAAAAAACCGATTCGTCTTCATAAAAAATTCACAGATTTCGCAATCCCTGCAACCATCGGAGACATTAGAAATGATAACCGTATACCTAACCTATAAAACCATATGTAAAACACAAATAACCCTTGTTCATACGGAATCACTTAAACTATTATGTCTAACGGAGTTTGGTGCTACAAACTGGCAACAAGCGGTTTTAGATTAATTCGACCCCGCTGAAAACGATGCACCCCTGTTTTCAGACCCGATTTTGGCATTTAAGTCCCTAAATCCAAGATGGCGACCATTTTTCGGCCATTTCGAGCCCCCAAGGCACGCCGCTGAATGTTTTGGGTAAGCTTTACGGGTAGAATCACATGTAGTACACACGACGGCACCGTTTAGGCACACTTTTGTATTCATATTAGGGACCTAAATGCCAAAATGCCGGTTAAAAACGTCAAAAATTCGTTGTTTTTTTTTCTTTCATTTACCGGACTTATGACGTTAATTACTATTTTTGAAACTACTTTAGAAACAACTACTTTGGCCTCTAAAAAGAGCGAAGAAATAGTTATTTGTATAACAAGTTTTGAAAGTGATACTTTCGCTTCGCCCTCATTAATCAACCTGCAAATTCATGAAAAACAGACACTTTCAACACGTGTTGTACACAAAATTTTTTGGCATAGTGATCCTTAAGAACCCCTAATTGAATAATATCATTGACATTTGCGATTTACTGTCACTCAAAAATTGAGCTATCGGTCATAGACAGGACTAAACGCCATGGAAACGCATAGTAAAAATGGTGAAAAAAAGTACTACTTGCTATACCTACGATTTAAAAAAAAAGTCCGGAAATTAGATAACTATGCAAAAAATGTGATTTTCCTCTCTAGTGAGGAAAGTAAAACACAATTGCTACGTTAATCTTAATCATGACATTCAATTTAAAATTGAAACATACATACATTGCTATGTGCCAAACTTCATTATTGCATACGATAATCTTTCAATTTTGATTGCAATTTCAGAAAAAAATATGTGTAAAATAGTACAGTCAATCTGGCACAAAAAAGTGTCGTTTTGGAAAAAAATATCATAACTTTTTTTGCATAAATCGTTCAAGTTATCTTAGAAAAGCTTATCCCTACAAATCCGGGATGGTACCGTGGGGCAGTTTTGAGAAAACTCAAAAAGTTTTTGGATTCGATTTATCTCGAAAACGATAAGTTTTTCAAAAAGAATTTATTGAACAAAAAATGGTGTGCACATTATTATCTACAACTTTTGTCATTAAGCGGGTGCTCTAACATGAAGAATGATTGAAATAGATGGCGCCAAAGTTACCAAAAAACGGTTTTTCTACTTTCTCACCGAAAAAAAATTTTTTCCTCACAATTGCAAATGCAAAAGTTATTGGCCGTGAAAAATCCTACAAAATGCATATATACTTTTTTACGTACAATGAATAGTTTCCCAGTTGTAGCGCGACCAAGACGGTGATTGTGGAATTTCTATAACGGGGCCGTTACCATAGGAGGTTTTTCCTAGGGTTTTTCTATGCGCCCAATAGGTGGATAGTGAAAACGTTCATAATTTTCTCTCCGAAAAATGAGTATCTGTTTTATTTGCAAAAAAATGTCGTTGAAGATAAGCAACGTGTGGGTTCGATTAGCCGGCAGTCGTTGCTGAAGGCATGCAAAATTCGAGGTGATGAAATCAACAGTAAAGTGATTGAAAATAATAGTACTGATCTCGAAGTTCATGGCAGATGTTACAAGCTGTTCGCCGACCATGGAAAATGATGCCGTTGAAGATGTTGACTTGAGCTACCCTTCTCAAGTCGTTCACTGGAACCCAACGTCAAGAAATGAAGAGTCGGGCTCAAGTAGTGATGCAGAATCAACGTCAAGTTCATTGGAGTAGAATCGTGGAAACAGCCACCGAAAAAAAAGCTGGTCCGCCTCTTCTCGCTCCCATACTGTATTGCTTTCGTTCTAATCGTAACATAATAATTAGTGATAAAAGTTTCAAAGAATCTGATCAGATAAATCGGTTGTAAGTTAATAATTAGCCGATACCAAAGCTAATGCTAGTTACAATACTCATTGGAAACGTTTGACAAAGTCCTTTAACCGGCGACTTTTATACAATTAAAAAGTTTTGAAGCTCGGATTTAGGAAGCGGGAAAAAGAGCAACAGGTACCTGCAGCTATTTCAAACTAGAAAATACGACCTTTGAGAAAATTTTATACGCGCGTATAGCGACGACCTCATGGTCCCGGAGTCAATTATCCACTCCCGCTAATCTCCGGAACCTTCCGGTCGGAAGTAGGGAGCAGAGTGCATTGTAAGTGCGTCTTTAGCAGCGTCACAAAAGACATTTCCACTTTTATCAGAAAGGAACGATTCGTTTAAATTCTCGCGGAAGAGCGAGAAAGGGTGGTTCTCGCGCATCAATATTCAAGAGGATTGTACTTATGATTGTTAAAGTGGCGAGAAAGCGGCCACTAAGCCGCCATCAGACATCAGATTTTCATTTGACACGTAGGTTTCCTAGTGCCCTGCAATAAAATGTCATAATTCAATGCTCGGTGAAAGGTCATTTACGAGATTTAACTTTTATAAATAATGTATGTTTGCCTTTTCCAAAGGGAATCGCGTACGAACAGCTTTCTGGTTCGTAAACACGGAAACGTGTGTGTGTATTAACTCTTTTGTAAATCTTTCAATTTTACCATGTTACATAAAAAGCGAATCCAAGCTTTTACGAAAGAAAATAGCATCAACTGAATCTAAATAAAATTCGACATGTTTAAAAGCGTCGCGTCGTGGTTCTTTTTGTCTTACCTTTGAGAAGGGGACAAATTCTACCCCAGCACGTTATGGCTCCTTTCCGATGAAATTGTCCAAGTGCTAGTTCCATGTAGAATAACGGAATTCCTCCTATTATCAACATAATGCAGTATGGAACCAAAAACGCACCTAAAATGAAATCTATTATTAGCTACTAAATTACACATAGGCTTATTTTTACATTTGACCAAATAAATCTAAGTGCAAGGTTCAGCAATTCGAATTCTCCATAAAGTAAACTCTAATAGCAAAGATTGCTCGGTTGTCGCAATATGTGTAAATTTTCCCAAAAGGGTCATTCAAAGCATTAAAGACCGAACAGTAATTAATCTAGTTTAGTTTATAGTAACGAAGAGTCTTTACAATCAGAAATGAACCCATTTAATGGTGAGGAGGAAATTCTTTCCAATTAAGGAAATTTCCCAATGTTACATTGAAAAAGAACATGCATATAAGTTAATTATTGTGCAACAAGATAATGCATTTTGCAGTTTCCGCGACAAAATAAATCAATTTTTAATTGACTCCTGTGCATCAAAGCAAAGTGTTTTACCGTTTCTTCACACTGACGCGACGGACGAATGGAAGATTTTTTAGCGCATTTTACAACGAAGTTGGGTGCGCCATTGTACCCACTTTCTTTATACGTTCGTCTTCTTTGAAATTTTAACCAAAGATGCTTTTAGCAAACGTATCACATATTGTAAACATCAGATTAATGTGCGCATGCGCATCCAATATCAGCCATCTTGTTTATCGAGCTATCCGTTTGAAATTTTAATCATTTCATATTGTAAACATTGGATGTGCGCATGCGTAGTCTATACACAATCTGCGCAGCGCCAACTTTGTTATTTACGAAGATATTTCTTTTTGAAATTTTAACCATAGATACTTTTTACTTGTTTGAAATTTTAACCACAGGTGCTGCCAGTAAAGGTAACTATCGCATATTGCCAAAATCATGCCATGCGCAGATTGCGCAATGTCAACTTTCTTATTTATGGAGACAGATCGTTGTCTGAGACAATGGCACTTAGGTCGCTTCCACCGAGTTCAGAGAACTTGTACAATACAGCGTTGCTAAGTACCATAAGTTCACTGCTCCTTACCACCATTCCGACAAACGGTCAAGCCGAGAAAAATGTCCAAACTGTCGAGGATCACTTAAAAATAATAGCCACAACACCTGGGTCCATACAAGGAATTTCTTCGTCAATACCGGAAAGCCCTCTACCTTTGGATAGTCTCCTGCACAACTCTTTCTGGTATAATCACTACGAAATTCCCTTGACCCACTCAATCCTGAGGATCTGTATATAAAAAAATCGTTGAAAAACAACGAGTCATTTTGATTGTTTCACACAGCACAAGCCGTTTATTTTCTCTAAACAAGTGCGTTCCTGGTATGTACCTACAGTCATGGACGTCCTGTACTATGAAATAGCTTTCTTAAACGCTTCACGAGACAAGAAATCCGAGGACCGTGCTGAGTTGCTGGCCCCTCGAAGCCCAGGCCTAGCCCAAAATACGTGCTTTCCAGGACTCGTTCTAGGACCTCATAGGTAGTTCGACTGCCTTCACGAAATGGAAGATGCAACCCCGCCTCGCCTGAATGCCACACCACTACAAGACATTCCACGAAATGGTTTGTTATGCTTTATTGGGAAATGTTGTCGAGATCCGGAGATTCTGTGGTAGCATAGTATTCCCCTAGGTCAGCGTTCTTTGGCATGTATAACTCCTTTCTTTACGAAAAATGGAAAAAAAAACAACAATTGTAGGCTCATATTAATTGGTTCATACTGAAACAGCCTTAATATATAATATAATGACTTTTTTACGACCAGAATGGAAACGTCGACCATCGACTATCGACTGCGGTATTAAAGGTGGGACTCCACTAAATGGGGTTAGGCCGGCGGCACGTACTCCCGGCGCAATCTGCCAGCTGTCACCGAAGAAACATTAAGGGTCCCTGGTTCAAATCTGGGTTCGGGCATGGATCTTTGTAGAGTACAGGGTGAAAGACTGCGGAAGTATAACCCGAAGGGTTTTAGATGTTGCATCCCCCTGTATATCATTATCTGTTCTGTTATAGTTAGTAATACCAGATTCTTATTTCTTATTTCTTCAAAATCTCCTCAACATCTCAAAATCTTTTAAAAATCATCTCAAAATCTCTTCAGAAACTCTTCAAAATCTCTACAGACTCTCTTCAATCCTCAAAACCTATTCAAAATTCCATCAGAATGTCTTCAGAACTTCTTCAGAATCTCTTAGGAATCTTCTCGGAATTTCTTCAAAATCTCTTTAGACTCTCTTCAGAATCTTATCAAAATATCTTCGACATTTCTATTTAGAATCTCAGGAAAATTTCATCAAAATCTCAAAATCTCTAGAGATTCTGATGAGCTTTCCAAGAGATTTTAAGAGAATTTGGAGAAATTTTGAAGAGATATAAGAGATTTTGATGAAACTTTCCTGAGGTTCTAAACATATTCTACAGAGGTTCCAAAGAGATTCCTAAGAGATTCTGAAGAGGTTCTGAAGCGATTCCGATGCGATTTTGAAGAGATTCTGAACAAATTTTGAGAATATTTTGAAGAGATTTGGAAAAGATTTTGAGGAGATTCTGAAGGGATTTTGAGACTTTGAGGAGTTTTTTAGCGGGTTTTGAAGAAATTTTGAAGTGATTTTGAAAAGATTAAAGATATTTCTAAGAGGTTGTGAAGAGATTCTGAAGAGATTTTGAAGACATTTTTAAGAGATTCTGATGAGATTTTGAAGGGATTCCTCAACATGTCATCAGAATCCCTTCACAATCCCTTAGGAATCTCTTCGAATTTCTTCAACATTTCTTCAAAATCTCCTCATCATCTCCTCAAAATCTCCTAAACATCTCTAAAAATATCTTCAAACCTTTCTGAAAATGTCTGCAAAATCGTTTCAGTATCTCTTCAAAATCTCTTAGGAATCTCTTCAAAATCTTCTCAAAAATCTGTTCAGAATCGCTCCAAAATCTCATCAGAATCTCTTCAAAATCTTTTCACAATCTCCTCAAAATCTCTTCAGAATCTCCTCAAAATATCCACAAAATCTACTCAAAATCTCTTTGAAATCTCTTCAGAATCTCCTCAAAATCTTCAAAATCTAACCCGATTTTTAGAATCTCTTAGGAATCACTTTAGAATCTTCTTCAGAATCTCATCAGAGTCTCTTCAAGATCTCCTCAAAATCTCTTCAACATTTTTTCAAGATCTCTTCAGATTCTTCAAAATCTCACCAGATTTTCAGAATCTTTTAGAAATCTCTTCAGAATATTTTTAGAATCCTCTTCGGAATCTCTTCAAAGCCTCTTGAAAATCACCAATATTTTTTTTAAATCTCCTCAACATCTCTTCAAAATAGTTTCAGAATCTCTTTAAAATCTCTTCATACTCTCTTCAAGTCTATTCGAAATCTCTTTTTCTCAAGCTCCCTCAAATTGTTCTAAAGTTCTCAACTTCCTTCTGTTCCCCGTCAAGCCGTTTTTTCAGGTATCTCTCATTTTCTTCAAATTACCTATATTCTCGTTCACTTTTGAATCCTTTGTTCGGTTTCTCCTTAAGCGAATGTATCTCAGACTCCTCATATTTCCCCTCATACACCCATAGGATCTTAATAAGTTCAAGTTCAACAAGTCTACTTAAAGTTCCTCTGAAGGTTTACTGCAGTCATTCTCAAACTTTCCCTCCGGGTCTCAAATTTTTAGCGTAACACAACGAAGTTGAGGTAAAGCTTATGTGCTCGTGTTTCCGTCCGTCCGTCCGTCCGTCCGTCCGTTCTATCGAGATCTCGGCCCCTGGGCCACCTAGAGACTTCGGGTTTTCGCTAATTGATAGCTGTTATGGCCTATATTTGCCCATTGCGATCAGTTTCATTTAACTCCATATTTTGGGCAGACTGCGCAATGCCAACTTTCATATCTATGGAGGTATTTCTTTGAAATTTTAACCACAGATGCTTCTAGTAAAGGTAAACATTTCGCACATAGTAAAAATTGTGTGGGCATGCGCAGTGACTGCGCAATGCTAACTTTCTTATTTATGGAGATTTCTTTGAAATTTTAACCACAGATGCTTCTAGTAAAGGCAAACACCTCGCATATAGTAAAAATTTCGCATGTAGGCATGCGCAGTGACTGCGCAATGCAAATTTCTTATTTATGGAGATATTTCTTTGAAATTTTAACCACAGGCGCTTCATAGCATTTCGCACATAGTAAAAATTGTGTGGGCATGCGCAGTGACTGCTTATGTATGGTAATATTTCTTTGAAACTTTATTTTACTTATTTAACTCCTTTCTTTCTCTGGACGTGGACGTACTTCAATATGCAGATTCGACATTTTGTGTGCTTTCGATGACGATGCATCGTTTCAATACTTTGTGTTACGCGGCAATACCCACGAGTGGGTTTTGGAACATTTTTTCTTGTTAAGTTCATCATATTCAATTTATTGTTCTTTCCCTTCAAGCTCAGCTCCAGTTCCTTTTCCTGATGAATTGCTCATAGGATCTCAAATTTTCCGTCAAGTTTCCTAACAAGCTCCAGTTTGTACACGTTCTTTTCAGATTTCCCTATAAAATTCGTATCAAGTTCCTCTTCAAGTTTATCTCGTTTTTCAACTATCCTTTAAGTTTTCCTCTAGACTCATGTTAATTGTTAAGTTCCAATTGCCTTCCCTAAGTTCTTCTCCAACTTCCCCAAAATTCTCGTGAATCAATCTTTGTTTCCACCTTTAACACTAGCAGTACTAGCACCCAAACCAAAGGTTAGAGACACATGGTTTAGGTAGGTACTACATGTTGGTTTTGGTTTCCATAGTCATACAAACGTAATTCCACAGTTGTGAATAAGTCGGCACCAAATAGTGTGTTTTTAAGTGCTTAGGAGCAAAAGGACTAACACAAGCAGGTGAATTTTTGGAAAGGTATACAAATCGTAATGTCTTTCAGTAAGACAGAACCGTAACGATTCACATAATACGCCACCCGACATCCGTTGGAGATTATTAAATATAGCTTACATCTACCTTTAAATCGGTTCTTTAGATTTAGAAAGGACGAGCGTCTCTAGAGACAGAACTACACTGTCGTATCAGTCAGTTGCCAGTAGATACAGAACAGTAGGTATAATCTATACGAAGCGCAATTTATATTTTTTTTCTTCAATTCCTTGCTCAAATTTCCGCCTTTGATCCCCCTACTTAAGACTGCATTAACTTACGATTTAATTACCGGATTCTAATGGTGACTGAAAGGAACCCACTTTCACGTTATTATCGCGTACTAACGCCGATCTAGTAGGAAATTGATCTTTGAATAATTTAATGTCGCAGATGAAAGTGCGAACCGTTCATCAAAACCGTGTCGTGTTTTAAACGAATTAGATTTCTTATTGTCGAGGGTGATATATTGCAAAAAAAAGGGGGGCAATTGAAAGTTTAAAGATGAGACTTCGATCCATCAAGAAGCAAGTGGCGTATTAATTAACATTGCCGGCAGTTAATGAGAGGCAGAGGCCAATCAGCCCTCTTTCTATGTCAATAATCGAGTCTAACTCAATTTTCAAGCCATTAGTGAGGCACTGCCCGTTGTTATTGCGATATTACAACACTGCTACTAATGCACCCTTCCGAATTATTGTCTTCTTTCTCATTATATCTATTTATATCGATTTTCATAGTAGTTTATACAAGAAACGGATAAACTTGCGTTGCGTTACCACAAAGAATGATATTAATCATTATAAGCAAGTATAAATTGTGCACAACTCTTGTGGAGATAAAGCGCATTTGTTTAAACCGAAATAGCTTTTGTTTTGACATCACCAATGGATATATTGCTTGCAGACGTCTCAATCGTCCTTTGCGAGTACCCTCTTCCGACAATCCGTTCTTGAGGTATAAGGGAATATACCCGATCACGATAAGAGCTCGAGGAGGTCTATGGTGGGTAGCAATTAATTCCTTTCGTTGAGACCTTTCACTGGAGTACCATGAAGGATAAAACTAGTTCCACTCTCCCTCTCCCCCCTCCCCCTCCTGATACGAGGACAGAAAAAAGGGGAGTAGTTGGTCGAAAACGGTTCCTTTCGTTGAGACCTTTAATTAGAATACAATGGAAGATCAAATTAATTTTTAACCCCCCCCCCCCCCCAGGCTTCTACCGTTTCGAACTACTTCTAGGGGAATGGTCTTAGAGTCCTGGAATTTTTGCAGTAGGTAACCTATACCTTGAAGGTGTCATAGACGGCCATCATATTTCGCTGTCTAAAAGCCCCCCCCCCCCCCCAGGAATTATTTCCTGAGATGCTGTTTTTGAAAATAAAACGTGCATAACTTTTACATACGACAACCAATTGGTCTCAGATTTTGCATACGCATGCCTTTAGTAGTGCCAAGTTAAACTTTAAATGTGGGGGGGGGGGAGATAACATGTTCTACCCTTCATGGTATTCTAATGAAAGGTGGAACTAGTTTTATCCTTCATGAAACGAAACGAAAGAAATCAATTTCTACCAACCATAGCCCTCCTCCTCGACCTCTTATCGTAATCGGGTAAATTCCCTTATACCTCAAGAACGGATTGTCGGAAGAGGGTACTCACAAAGGGCGATTGAGACGTCTGCAAGTTGTGCACAATCTATACTTGTTTATATGTACCTACCACTAACTCACAGAGAAAGAATGAAAAGTAGGGGGCAGCATGGATAAAAGAGAAGTACTGGGAGGAAATGAGAAATAGAATACTGAAAGATAAGATAAGGGATAAAAAAGGGAAGGGTGAAAGATTGTATACAAAACCATAGAAGAGAATGGCGGGATAAATAGACAAGGAAGGGAAATACAGAGGAGAAATGATAACGATTTACAAAGAGGAAATATAAAATATTTAAGGGAGTAAATAGAAAATATAGAAGATGAAACAGTTAGGTGGAAGGGATTTTATTGGGAGGAGATCTAAACGCCAGACTCGAGAGTAAAGAATGGGCAATGACCGGAAAGGGCAAATAAGGAAAAAATCAAGAATTAAAGACAATTTTATTTTTATAGGTACTTACACATAAATTATTTTTGGTTGACGGTCACTGTAATTTGTGGTTAAGGACCACTATCATATTTAAATTACGAGTATCTCTTATTTCGTTTGTGGTGAACCCTGTTGGTGGATTCCTTCATGCAAGCCTAAAAGCGCATTTTTGTTTGACTATTCCGTTTCCGTATTAGTAGTAGTATTAATAATCTGTGGTTGGTTTAACTGCACAAATTATTGAATATTGTTTCTGGGTAATTTAACTAGTTGTGGTGTACTCTCAACGTAGTTTGAAATCGAGTTAAGCACTACTGCTCCAAATTTGGAGGATATAAAATCGGATTTATTGATACGTAAGTGCAGCCATGTGCTTAACCATGATGTTACCGTAATAAATTGCGTTCTGGGTCCTTGCCATTAGGCGTTGAATCAACTTAATTGTTCATCGTTGCCGTACTATTGTTGTTTTAGGAATCCAGAAGTATTTTGTTTTTTTTTGTGATCAACGGCATGTTACATGTCTTAATAATAATAGTTTAATTTCAACTGACGGGAATTTTCCATTTACGTGTACATCCACTTTAATTAGGGATAACAACACCAGTCTCTTATCAAGATAAACAGACGGCGGCAATTTCGTTGTGGAAATTACGCGAAAGCAACACTTAATCGGGCTAACCTGTAATCTCGAAGCTAGTAATTAATCGGATAATTCCTCTTCAAGGAACATTATTCGAAACGACAACTTTTGTAAAACGTTATCGTCATTATTTGCTTGTAATTCATTATTGTCACGCTTGAGATTACCGAGGGTCTGGAAGCTAGTTAAAATTAAATTCATATTACTTCTACTCGTTATAATTATTCTGCTAATAAAAATTAACCTTTGATGCAACCTTATCGTTTGACATCACCGCAAAGTTCGTCGCAGTGCAAGCTTTATAAATACTTAATAAATTAACTAAATAAAATATAAGAATACATTCACCTTTGATGTACCGCAAGGCTCAATACGTGGACCATTACTATTTACAATCATTCAATATGCTGAATTTGTTCTCTCAAGATGCTCACTATCCACGCTATTAAACTAGGATAATGCTTTTGTGTGTGTGTGTAATTACGGTATTTATACGTGCACGAAGATGCATTGCGACACAGACCGTAAAAGAACTGAAAACCACTAACAACTTGATTTCATATGGAACAAATTTAAAAATTAATTTCGTATTGGGAAATTTGTAAATTCAAATTTCCGACGGACTAAGATAAAAGACGTTTGTAACTCGAACGGAAACGTTCAGCGTTTCTGTAGGGCGTCTATTTTCGCACAAAAGCGTTCACATGTTTACGGATATCATCGTACGTTTCGCCGTAGGCCCCATAATAAATTTCCGATTTATTTTCGTTTAATTACAACTATATAAACATGAATAAATTATACTTACCGCCGCCATTTTTGTAACACAAATAAGGAAATCGCCAAACGTTTGCTAAATCTACCGCGAACCCAATGACCGAAAGCAGGAAATCGACTTTCTTGCCCCAGGTTTCTCGGTCTTCCGTTGTCGCTGAATCCATTCCTTGTGGTATAACACTTTTGCATTTCGTAGTCTGCTTTGATGTCATGCTTCAGGGCCGAGTGTCGGCTCTTACGTCGTGAGAATAACTACAAAAAGAATATATCTAATTAGTCTTATTATTGACACAGCAATTTTTGTGTGTTCCGTACTAATTAACTAAATGAACCCTTTTTGCCATGAAATGAACGCCGGGAAATAGATAATTTAGAAACTTTAAGTTTTTACTTTCGAAACAATAGAAATAGCTTTACGGCACGACGGCCTAACGAAAGTCGTACGAGTTTGGATAGTATGAGTATCAGAAAAGCATGGTTTTTACGCTAAACGTAAGGTACTATAATTTTTTCTTGATTTGTATAATAATCAAGATCGGTTTTCTTTATAAATTGCGTAAAAAATATTTTCTGAGAATTTCCCTTTAAATGGGTTCAACTTTGCCATAAGTTTTTTTCTGTAAATTAATTATCTTATTTATTGTTCATTGAAGTTTAAATAAGGGCAAGGTAGAAAAAAACGTGGTCACGATATAGAGATTGAACTCAAATGTTCATCGTAAACATAACAAATAGTTAAATAAGTAAAAAATGTAAAAGAAAGTGGAATTTGGATCGATTTTACTTAGTCAATCTTTCATTGTAATTTTACATTTATAGTCTGCAGTCAATTTTCTGGGTTAAAAGAAAAACTTTCAATAAGGAATTATAGAAATCATTTCGAGCTAGCCGTGGGTCAATATATTTTTCGAAAAATTAACCTCTGCAGTAGAAAGTATTAATTAGCATAATTAAGGGCGTTCAACTCTTTATTGTAACTAGCAGTTACATATTGCAAATAAATCTTACCAAGGACCAGAAGGACGCGATGGAAAAGGCTGTTTCCAGGATGAAAAAGGTCTTGATCGAATGAAGAATTTGAAAAAAGTTGTAAAAACAATAATGTGAGGGCGACCAAAAACGCAATCTCTAATCAAGGAGACTCAAACTATTTACAGGAGACGAAAATTCAAATAAATCAGAGAACATCTGCCATATGCCAGCGTTCATAACTACATGTGAGTAGGTAAGTTTGTTTATTTTTTTACAATGAATACAAGTAACAAATGGAAAATTCAATGAAAATAATATCTCATATAAAATAATTTGAAGCAAATATTATGTACCTACTGGAAAATTAGTATACGAGGCCACAATTGTTTAATCGAAAGTAGAAAATCGCTTTTAAAGCAATCGACGTTTGTGCATAAAATTTAAAAAACGACCGTTTCAGCTGCTGCCTCGTGTTAATGTTTTTTCCATGTTCACAGTTGCTAATAGAAATTTAATTTGTGCGTAAATGCTGGCGTTTACTTATATGGGTGCACGACCCGTATTCGCATTTCGTTTGCTGTAATTGTTCAAACTGTCAAGAAATTTTTAGCGGCGGATTCCGGAAGGTAAGCAAAGGAAGTAATTGGAAATTTAATATCCGTCACCTAATAAAATTGTCTTTGAATTATATCTCAATGGAGTGTCTTTTGAGAGATAAAGAGTGCGTTTTTATTGCTTGTTAGAGAATTATTGTCGCCAATTAAGCATCTATATCATACAGTTCTTACTTCTTACTACCGTGGTCTATGAATGTATAAGTATAGGTACCTATGTTATTTACCATAGTGAAATAATATAACAACCAGGTATGGTGTAATAAGATAACTTTGGTACAAACATTGAATAACGGTACAACGTCTTTAGCATTGTTAAGCCATTTAAAACAGTCTTTTTCTTTGGCTTCCTACTTTAACATAGGTATACCTACACTATACAATCCTGTACTGTCAGCTTGTAAAAAATTGTGAATCAATAAAGTCCCTCGATGCATATACGGTCTTTAACGACGACATGTTTTTTGGAACCGTTGAAGATGGTTTTAAAAACTTTACATACAAAAATAAGACTAATTTTCCGACCGAATGAAAATATTTCCAAGATGGCGGGACTTCTGCCCCGACCGGAAGTCCTCACTAACATTGTTATTTTAAATGAAATGGAATGGAATTTATTCACTTTAGTGTCAAAACCGTCCAAGAGCCCAAAAATTGAAAGGCTGTAAATAACCGAACTCGAAAAAAATGGCGTAAATTTTCAGTACGAAAGTGAGAGGAAACCATATCAGTGATAACGTGCACCAAAGTTTATTTGCGGTCGTGGAATTAAGTAGTGCAATTAGTAATATTGCGAACGTCTAATTTCTGTGGAAGGTACCGGATGTTGTGTGACCTCATTCCGAAGACCCTATCGTAAAAAGTTTCCATGTCATAAACATTGTTTGGTAGAATAAGTATACGTACAAATTATAAATTATAAAAGTAGGAGCGCACTTTTCCTGCACATACATTCAGAGTTGAGAGTGACGGTTCCAATTTCAATTCGAAAGCGAAAGTTTCAACAGAAACTTAAATCAGTTTCGTTTTGGCCTTGCAATGCGCTATTAATAAATTACACTGCGAGAAAGCTGATTGAATGCAGACGACATAAATAGAAGGTTCAGTGCCCAATCAATTGTACAGAAGAGGTAATCGTTCGCACCGTCAAAAGATTCACACTCCATTGGAGCAATGTTGGGGCATCGAACATAAGAACCTGCTAAACATTCAAACAGGCAACAAGTGTTAAATTATAGGTATTGTGTAAACAACGTCATGTAGACGTTATTTCGGTTTAAATACCAAACATAATGACGGGACGCCCTGTATATGACAATATTTCAATTTATAAAATTGTTTATTGTATTTAAATTTGTGTGATGCTTTTCCTTTTGGAATTGTTTGTAGTTGCGTAACTCTTGTTTAAATTTTATCGCTTTTGTAAACGGTTTAATTCGTTTTGTGTATTTAATTGTAAAACGTAAAATTGCGGGTTAAAATGTAGGGACATCTCGTCGTTTGCGATAAGGAGCCTTATCATAGCTGTTAGAAGATGCGGGTGTTTTACCAAGATGTGCGCGTTATTTTGGAATAAGTGAAGACGCGTTTCTTCGAAGCTGGCGCGGAAGTGGTGTTTCCTTAAATACTGGAGACAACGTAAAAACGAGGCTGCTGCTTGGTGTTAGTTTCCGCGAGTGTGGAAGAGCGTGTAAATATGTATACTCGGGCAATCTTCCCTAGTTGTTTTGTTAAAGACGCAATTCGTTGATTTTAAAATAAAATGTGCAGAAGTTAAGCAATATTAATAAGTTATCGTCAGATGAAGCAGTAAAGGGTTGTTCTTAAAGCGATTTGTCCATATTCAGAAAAAGTTAGTTCGAGTGCGAGTAATCTCTCTGTCTGTCATTAAAAGAAGCTTCTACTACCCGAGTAGTCACTAAAAATTGTTCATTCTATTTATCAAGCCAGTTCTAGTCATTGTGTTCAGTTTAAGAAGAAATGAAATGTCCCGAAGCGGCCTGCAAGTGTTTTTGATAAGTGCGCCCGAATATCGCAAACCTTTCACGCCCAGATTATGTGAATTAGGTACTAGAAAAAAAAAATTAAGTAATTTTAATTTTAATTATCGACAGCTTGCATGTCCAAAAAAAATTTGTAAGCTTTTCTTTCTTTGGGATTTTGTTTTATTTGCTTCATGTGTATTGGAATAAAATTTTCTCATTGTCAATCAATTAATTGTGTGTTTATTCGAATCCCGTGTGCGACCCAGATATAGTTTTCATGTCAGATTTTTATTATTAGTGGCCAAAATTTATTTCAGGTGTTGATCAAAATTTGTGTAATAAATTCTTTGAGATTGTCGGAAGTTGATCGCGTCTCTGGATTTGAGAAATTGTATATTAGGATTTTTCCTATAGCAGTCAGATGTCTACGAGGAGAAATTCCAAGTTTTAATTTGTATTGAGCTAACTAAGGTGTTCTGTGGGTGGTGTAGTAACCGCATACCATTGCACAGCAGTATTTATTTTATTGATATATTGTTCCATTCTTTCGGTACGGTCTGTTGTTCCAAGAACATATTAAATAGAACTCTTAGTTTTGAAATTATTGTATCTGGCGTTTCCTTGATCATTTCCGACAGAATGCCTTAATCTCTAAGTGGTTTGTTGGTTTTAAACGTTCAAATTTCATTGTAAAACTTATATTTTCTTTATTTATTTGCGGGTTGTGTTCATGATGTAACTTTTGTTATATTAGTCTCTTTATGCATTGTAGGTCTTTTTATCTGAGTATTGTAGAGGTTTCATAGTATTTTTTAGCTCTGAATTATATGGTTTCTTTTCGTTATTTCTTTCCCTTCTTCATTTATTACCGATAATATTTGTTGATTCTCCTCTCTCTTTCTATTATTTTTTCTACCATATGTTTGTAGTTTTCATCAAGGTATTTTCCAATCATTTTTCTTGTTGTCGTATAGATGTGTTACATACTGTCCTGTTTGGTAGACGTACTTTCATTCTTCAATTTTTCTATTTGTCTCTTTTGTTATTTTACTTTTCTACGCTCTCTTCTTTTTGCCACCTCACTTGCTGCTTTTGTGAGTATCGTTTTCATGTTTCCGTCTGGGTCGACCACACTTTTTCGTATGTCTCCTCTTTTAAAATTGTTTATCGTTTTCTTCTCTGTTGTTAGTACTGCTCTAACGAGTCTGTGGTCGCTGCCTGTGTTGGCTGTATTTAGTGTTGTTACGCCTGTGGCCATTTTTTGTTGATGTTAATATATATCTGTTTCGTTCTAAATCGTTCTTCAATCTGCCATCTGGGCTGATCCAGGTCCATTTTATTTGTGTTCTACTCACTGAAACAGAAGAAAATGTAAAGAAAATGTTAATAGAACTGGATACTGAATCTAGAAAAGTAGGCTAAAAAATGAATAAAGAAAAAACCAAAATCCCAAGTATCCAACATTTAAATTTAAAAATAAACGGAATACACATAGAAAACGTAAAGCAATCCATATATACCAGTCACAGCAAATGGAATTGGTAAAACAATGCAAAGAGAATGAAATCAACAGAAGAAGGCGATTAAGGTGGGTAGTGTTCAGAAAACTTTTATACTTAAAAAAACAAGAAAATTTCTAAAAAAATGAATGATATTTGGAACACAAACATGGACTCTCACA